CTAGAAAATTTCAGAGAAGTACGTTTTGGCAGATCTTAGATGTCTTCTTCAAGGACAGGGGTCGCATACTTTATGGGAAAATTGGGAGAGCCTTCAAATCTTCTTCTTCGACACTATAACTCGGTTCTGACTTTTCACAATGGAAGTCACCCCGCAAACAGGAAAAATACTATTCCACTTCAAAGCAGCTGACTGCACGATTTGTACTTGGGACTCCAAGATGTCTAGATTATGGAGAAACCAGCCTTTTGTCCAAAACACACAAAGAAGTGTATTTTCTGTTTATACCAATTAAGTATGTTGAAGCATGTCCCACATGGCCACATCGGAAACTTGATAAAGTTTAAATCCTCTTATATAGAAAAGTTCGACTACTAATTGCTTAATTTTGTATAAACCACACCTATTGAATTGCACATGTGGTTAAGTTAAGGTCAGTATTGATGGTAATTAGTAGTGGGCCGCTGGGCTGTCTCTATAAAACTAGTACAAAGGGCAATTTATAGAAGCAGTGTTGAAATAAGGGCAATTCATCTGTTCTTTTTAGGAGGATTTAAATGAAGCAAGGTTTATCTGCTTGCGTAGAGTAGAAGCAAACTGGTAGCAACAAAACCAAATCAGAGTGAAGATATAAGAAAACCCGTCTGAGGGGAACGATGAATGGAAGGAATTAGGAGTAATATCCAGCTGCAATTTCGTGTAATGAGACTGCAGCGGTGTTCATTTTGAATTCAGAATCTGCTACTCTTTCCAATGTGAATGAAGTTTGTAGCGTGGCTGAAAACTATACTGAACTAGTATTTGCCGATAAAAAGGATCATAATTCGCCGCCACCCTCTCTACAAAGAACAGTAGGGAGTAGCGGGGCCAGCGATAATTCCAATCCGTACAAGATAAACCACAAACTTCATCAGCAGCAATAGATTAAGCAAATGAAAATGTTTTCGTAACAAATCATCACATTACAAAGCCACAAATTGTTAAACTAAAAAAAGATTGATAAGAAGGAAACAAGCTAGCTACTACTGTGACAATATATACAACGGTGGTTCAACCTTATCTGGTATATGGGGATGGACATGGTGGAACAGGCACTTCGGCAACTCCTTCAAGCATCTGCACAACCTTCCTCATAGTAGGCCTAAGAGACGGATCTTCCTGAATACACCAAATCGCAACCATCACAAACTTTTCCAGTGTCGTTCGATCACCCAAGGCCTCGACTTCATGATCTACAACATCATCTAGTACTCCTTCAATGTAGCAATCATAAACCCAGTACGTTAAAATTGCTTTCTCTTCACAGTTACCTTCCATGTCAACGCTTCTCCTACAACAAATGATCTCCAGCAGCACAATACCAAAGCTGTATACATCAACTTTGGTAGTGATTGGCAAGTTCCTGAACCACTCAGGTGCAACATAACCTTTTGTTCCTCGGATGGCGGTATGAGTCTGGCTCTGATTCATCATCAAAAGTTTTGCCAATTCAAAATCAGAGATCCGAGCGGTGTAATACTCATCGAGAAGTATGTTCTGCGGCTTTATGTCACAATGGATAATCTGCGTGCTGCACTCTTCATGCAAGTACAAAAGCCCCTTCGCAACGCCATAAACGATTTCAATTCGCTGTCTCCAACTTGGTTTGATATCAGAAAAAAGAAAGCTTGCCAATGTGCCATTGCTCAATAACTCATAAACTAGTAATCTCTGCTGCCCCTCGTCACAATATCCAAATAGACGAACCAGATTCTTGTGATGCGTGTGACCAATTACATTCACTTCTGTGTTAAACTCCTTCTCGACATCTGCCATAACACAGTTTAGCTTCTTCACCGCCACTTCGACACCAGAACCAATTTGCATCACCCCTTTGAAAACCACTCCAAAAGCACCCTTTCCTAATTCTTCCTTGAATCCATTTGTAGCTTCTCGTAGCTCTTCATAGCTAAAAGAGCGCAAATTCGAGTCCAAAACAATATCGGTACTAGGTCTTACAGGTTTCTTCCGGAATATGAAGAAAAACCCAAGACAGAGAGCAGAACTTAAGACAAAATTAACAAAGATAGAGGTACCTAATAATACTGATTCCACTCGTATCACAGATTTCCGTCTCTTCTCTTTATCATCTGGAATTGGCTTTGGAAGAGACTGCAGAGTGGCATTATCCTTTCGGACTTTTATGAAGGTCTGTGAATTAAGACTGACATCCACTCTCCCGTTTGAGAGAGGTAACTTCTTTTTCCAGCAGGTTTCAGACCTGAAAACAGCAACAGCGCACAAACAATCTTGATAGCAGGACTCGTTGCACTCGTCTGCGGTAAAAGAGTTTAGCTGCACATAATCTGAGGTTGGCCAATCAGTATTTGTCAGCACTTCGACATCATACAAATCTTTTCTGGGACTTCGTAGCTCATCTTCTTCACAGCCTTGTATAAAATCGGGTTTGCAGCCTCGGTATATATCCTGCGGATCAAGAAAAGAAAACCCTTTTGGGCATTCGCAGGTTGGCCTATTATCTGGTTTGAGCTTACAGACACTGTTATATCCGCAAACACCAACGCCCAGGACTTCACGAAGTGTTAGGCAAATATCATCCGGCTTATACCACAGAGGATTACTCCAGCTTGCATTTCCAGTGAAATTTTTCGGGTGAGAATATAAAGCGAAAATCCCATCAAAATCAAGAGTTGCCCTTATGTAGTTGTCCCTCACCGAAACTCCCTGTGTCCCTGTAAGAGTGAATCTTCCACCATTTTCTCTCAGAACAAACATGTCCCCTGAGCTGTTGAACACCAATTGTTTACCTTGACTACCTTCTACAGTCCCTGCGGTGGTGTTCGTGGCGAAGTAAGGGTTGTTGGCATAATCTGTTGGCAAGTTGACGGTGTTGAGCACGAGGTTTCCATCATCTTGCAAGCGCAGCTGGAACCGCCCTTTTGCGTAGTTTGTCTCCGATTGTCTACACGAAAGCTTCCCATTTTTCTCAATTGTCTGTCCAGGCAAAACGGTGTCTGTAGGATTGCTGAAGGTCTCCCACAAGCTCCCTGAGTTTTGGTCTTGAAGGACAAAGTTTCCGGTGTCATTCATGACCCCGTTCTCAACAATCCCGAAAGTTGTTTCGGATTTCCATATCTCTCCACCCTGAGGATTGTTAAGAACTAGTCCACTGTTGGCAGTCAAGTTCAGAACTGATCCCCTTGGTGCAACGATGGGGTTGTTACCGTCATATGCATACCAAACTACGGTTTCGTCTGGGATTTTCGCATACCATATCGAAAGCAAGAAAAGATCATTGTTTCCGAGGGGCGAAAATCCAAACGCGAAATCACCGGATGGAGAAAGCCATGATGAGGAGTTGCCTGTACTTGCAGTTAGAGAACTCCCAACTACTACTCTTCCATTATTTTGGGAAAACACATAAATTGGTAGCAAAAACAATGAGGAGAACAAAAGCATCCGTACAGAAAAAGCCATTGCCATTGCAAAGCACCAATTCTTCAACCTAGCTTAATGAGCTATATTTCTTCAACCTAGCTTAATTAAATATATATCTTAATTAGGCTTGACTAATCTCCATGCCTGTCATTGTCTTAAGTTTTTTCCTGGAAGTAAATGCGTGTACCACATTTCTTTAAGTATATATTAGCCATCAACCACGCATGGCCTCCCCTCGCTAGCTTCACACACAACAATTTCTCCTAACCTGCACATATAATACACATTTAGTCCTTGTTCAAAATACAAGAATTCCACTTTTTGAGAGAATAATATAATTGAATAGTTCTATATTTAATGACACTGATACCAACTCCGTAACTACTTTGCTAATAGGTGGTAAGAGAATGCAAGTTGGGGCAATATTGATGTGATTAGCAACAGCCGGCTGATTTGTCTTTCTCAAATCTTTTTTCATCATATTCTCGTCCCTCACTCATTTTACAATTCTACTTACTTAAGCGCTTATGAATGTTTCAAACTAGCAAATGACTTGTATCTTAAGTAGTTAAGAACATTTACCACTACACTCGAAGTTTTACGTTCGACTATACAATATTATATTAATATTATATATATGTATAATGTATATGTATGTATGTGTGAATGTTTCAAACCAAAAATACTATAGTGTGTGTGTGTGTGTGTGTGTGTGTGTGTGTGTGTGTGTGTGTGTGTGTGTATATGAATGTTTCAAACCAAAAAACTATAGTAAATATGAGCATGACTCAATCATTTGCTGACCATTCAAGCCTACCAGAACAAAGGACAAGCAGCAAAATTCAAAGATTGGTAAGAAGACTTCAATTTCGGGTGGTTGAATTGAAAGCATTTACCTTTGCGTTCGAGATCACAGTTTGAATCCCGTCTTCACTTTACCTTCCATCGAAGCCGGAAAATGTGAAAAGTAAATGCAAATTAGAGACATCGCGAAGTTCCACTTTACCGTTCCAATGAAGCCGGAAAATGTGAAAAGTAAATGCAAATTAGAGGACGGATAGAGGTGGTGTCAAAGCTGAAGTTCATGTTTTCAGTGGGGCAGGAGTAGGACATAACTGGGGAAAACTTGGAAAATAGACGTCCATGATCAAACAAAAACTACCAAGTCTTCAAGTGATAGACTTTTGAAAAATGCCAAACATCTCTGTTCATTTATGCATTCACCAAAAACTAAGTACTAACTAAAGTTTTTAAACTTGTATGATATACATCGTCAGGGTAAAACACCGGAGGCCGAGCTGAGATATCACCGGTTTCAGGCATGGTTCGACGAGCATTCGAAGCCCGTATAGATCAAGACAAGGCTGATATGCCATTTCATCTCATCAGGTCGGGCCAGCCATTTCGTACCAGGTTGGACATTGCCTACCACTTGACCCATATTCGATACTGCAGAGGAAGGTAAGAGATGAGGTAAAGGTAGAGCAAGCTCCAAGTCATGTGGAGGTCACTCAAGATTGAACACTCGTGCATAGAATCATGGTATGAAATTCAAGTCCAAATCAGAAAACCAAATTTTAACAAATCTCAGACAAACGATGACTCTACGAAATCGAAAAACATGAAACTCAGAAAAGCATTGTTTTAGTTTAACAGCCCAAACCTCCTCAAAAAACTAAGACGAAAACAACAAACACTAGGAAACGGAAAAACATGCAACTCAGAAAACCATTGCTCTAGTCCAAATGAGGTTCCTCACTGCCTCAAGCTTTTTCTAAACACCATAGAATTCGCTCAGAAGCCTGAACCTTTTCCTTTGCGCATTCTTTGCCTCACCATTAACGTTCTTAATGAGCTCCTCTTCAAATCTGGGACGAGAAGGCATTAGGTTCAGGTTGCGCATAAGGCTGTGCATGCCCCTAGCTCTTGCCACAACTGAGGTGCGTACGCGTGCATGTCCCGCCTGAGTCATCTCATTGTGTGCGCAGTTAGATCTTCCCATATTGACATCCCTGCTGTCCATTCTCCTGCGAATCCTTCTGCTGGTGACTTCATCCGGGTCTACCTTCTCGTTCCTCAGTGCAGGTTCATCTGCTTTTCCATGTTAATAAATTAAGAATCCAATAAGAAACGGCATACGACGAAACAGAACCTAATAATAACAACAAACGCTAAGGCTAATTTTCTTGCAATTTCACATCTCGCGGCCTTTGAGAATCAGATCACAAGAAGCTAAAGTATTTACTTCTTAAGTAAGTATCGAGTGGATGACACATAATAAAGCAAGAACAAAACTCTAGAAGAAGAATAGGCGGACCATCTATATGCATCATTATTATTAGCAAAGACACTAAGTAGTCTGGTAATATGCATATTTGATCCACAAAATCATTTCCATATATGAAAATGGTGAGATGGTATTATAATACGTGAACGTCATGAAGAACAAAGCAAGCCAACACCAAATATCTTCCCCCTCAAGACTAAGCAAAGATATTAGAACAGAAACGATACGTTGGGAAAAGGCTTAAATATCAATAAAATGTGTTTTCTTGACAAAGTTCATCCATTGAATAAGATATCATATCTGACCTTTATTTCCATGCTTCTTTTACTATGGGAGCTAAGGGAATCTGTATCTAACCTGATTTGCAAATCACCATTGTAACATATATACGCTGGTTCGTGGCGGGTTGTGGAAGTTTCCCAACGACATGGCTTTCTTTTTGGCTGTTGCATTTTGAGAATATCCTAAAAAGGAATGCTAAAAATAGTACTGATGGCGGGTAGGCTATTCTTTGGAGGAGCTAACTGATGCTTTGAAGGGTTTTAGAGAAAGAAAGAAAAAAAAAAACAGTTTTTGATAATCTGAAGAATTTCTTTTCAATATTCCGAAGAATTATCATATTTCTTTATAATGCTATTAAATGACGCAGACAAGTTCACCTAGTTTACAAGTCATTAATCTTCTCTGCATTGAGAATTTTGTACAAAGATGTTCCCAAAAGCATACTTTATATCAATAGTGCTTGATACAAAATTTATTAATTTCCTGATAACCATTATTTGAACTCTTTAAAGAAAGTGAAAAAGGCGTACCATCATCAGAAGATATGACGATTACATTCTGTCGGGCAGGTACAGCTGCATTTGAGATGCTTCCCCTCCTTTATGATCACCAATAAGGAAATCCATTTAACAATGTGTACACAGTCATTCAAATGTTCTCACAATCCCGATAAAACAACTAGTTTCCTTCAAAGTATCAGTTTGAATTTACTACTTATGCATTTTAAATTTTAGGTGCATATTGAATGAGTACGCGGGAACCTTATTTTGATACGTTACGAAACACATTGAGTAGAGATGACCCCCTTTACTTTTATTAAATCAGATGGACACATGAAAGATGACGATACTGTGTCTCCTGTCAACTTCAAGCCTACAAACCATGGGGATGTCGCCCTGCTCAATTAATCCACATAATTACATTAAGAAAATAACTTACCTTTGAGCAGCACAGGAATCTGAGATCACCTTATCTTCAGATACACATCCAGCAGTGTTCTATAAAAAAGATTGTGGAACAGAATTAGTGCATAGTAACAAAAAACAGATGAGACTACGGGTGTTACACCAGCCCGAACTTCAGAAAATATAGCGTTGCCTGGATCTGAAGATGTAGGCAAGGATACCTAGATCTGGGATGGTGGAGCAGAATTTGTTGCATGATAACAACAAACTGAGTGGATTTTGATTTAGAATTTTAGAGTTATACCTAGATCTGAGATTCCAAAGAACGATGAATTGTAGAACCAGTGAATAAAATTGGAGAGGCAGTAGGAGGTAGTAGAAAACAATTAACATAAAAAAGAACTTAAAATCGCAACGGTTTGCACATACTGAATCCTTCTTTACCTCTGATTTGATGTTAGGTTTATTCAATTAACATAAACTAAATTTAAATCGCAATGGATTTCACATCCTGAATCCTCTCTTTACCTATGATTTGATGTTTGGTTTATTCAATTAACATAAAAATAACTTAAAATCACAACAGATTTGCACATCCTGAACCCCTCTTTACCTCTTTAATGTACTGATCATGCAGATATCTTTGGTAGGACAGAAAAATAGCACCATTGAAGGGCAATGATGAAACCTCTTGCTCATCTTGCTGTGCTGGGGGATCTTCTGATGAACCAACTGAGCTAGTTAGAGGAGGAGGTGGTTTGACGATCCGTCTGCCCCTGATTCTCATTTTCAAAATTATCCAAGAGTACCAAAATATGATGTTGTTGTATACACTCAATTCCTCAAAGATCGTTGTTTCAACTAATGAATCTGAAGGAAAAATCAATGTCTAGCAAGACATGAGTAAAAGGGAAAGACCTAGAAACTCACGTACAGACAGAAAGAAACAGAAAGATTAGACTTATTAGACTGCATCTTAAGCTAAAATTTCTCCATGACTTACACCTGGTGGATGGTCTGACGCCTGGCTCTCACCTTACTAGGTCGCATGGTGCCCCTCAACCCGTAAAGAGTAAAAGACTAAAAATTAAATGTGAGACTAGATGTCATTAAATTTTGATATTTCTAATTTCCATTGAGAACATAGAAGAAAATCGTAGCAGATATAGTCATAAATTTCATATGAAATGGCAATTCTACATATTAGGTAACCTAATAAGGATAGCATGTAACTTCCCTGTAAGAAAATCAGGCTGTTTCAATGAAAATGTCTATGCAGAAAACAAAGGACAAGTCATACAAGAGTTCAATGCAGCAAAACTAAACAATTTTGATGCCTAAATTGGCCATACAGGTAAACACGAGATTGCTTACACAAAGAAGACCTGTCGATTAGTAATGCTTTTGCTGGAAAAAATGTACATGGATATATAACTGACACGATGCTAATTTTCTGGGAAAAAAAAATGTCCTTGAATATATTCAGGATATAAAAAATATAGCAGTTTTCATTTTTTATTTGTTTTTTGGTTACATGAATATCCTGACATACTCAAAAACAATGTTTTGATCTATGCCTACCATGTATCATAGGTCACAGGTATACAAATGAAACTGAAAAATGTGAGGCAGGACAATCTGTCAATGATAACAAAACGAAACTGAAGGAGATGCATTAAATTCCCACCAACAATATTTTGTTACTTTTATAATCAGGATGGCGAGATAATTGATAATAGCATATTGCATTGACACATTGGTAAATATGCACTACAAATACAAGTTTTCAGCTTTCACTTTGGTCTCTTCTGTTATAGACCATAAAACAGAAATCCTAAAAGTTTTAAGGCATAGAAATATACTTGCAGACTATGGAGTCATTTATTACAAGAGAAACTCTACCAAAGTCTTATAATGATATAAGACATCGGAGTCCGTATGTTTTACATTAACTGGCTGGCTGGTTAATCCTTCACCCTCTTTGGCCTCCCCTCTTAGGCTTTGGCATTTCAGCATTCCTGTTTTATTAAATTTTTAGCCACAGATTTCTAACCCGCAGAGAGAAAGAGAGAGAGAGAGAGAGAGAGAGTACCTATTGTTTGAATCTGGTGATTCCTCTGTGCTCCTCCTGGGGTGACCCCTTCTTGTCTTCCTATTGTTTGAAGAAGACGATTCCTCTGTATCGAGAGAGTACCTAGTGTTTGAATGAGGTGATTCCTCTGTGCTCCTCTTGGAGCGACCCCTTCTTGGCTTCCTTTTGTTTGGAGAAAAGGACTCCTCTGTGTCCTTCTTGGAACAACCTCTTCTTGGGTACCTATTGTATGAATGAAATGATGCCTCTGTATCCCCCTTGGAGCGACCTCTTCTTGGGGCAATATCTACACACCTTCATAGCAAAAGTATTGTTGTTTATTATGTCCACAGGCAGAGGATATATGCATGCACACAACACACATAAATTGGATCCAAAACACATGTTCAAACACACACACATAGAGAACATAGGGGGAGGGAGGGATGCGAATATACCCTTGATTTGCCTCAACTGGATCTTGCATCCTCTTTGGCCTTCCTCTCTTTAGTTCTCGCCTTCCCCTGTGTGTTCATGGTCAGATTTATTAATTTTCTCCAAACCCACTAGAAAACCATACACATAGATGACCATGTTTTTGTAGATGCACAAACACATCGTGAGAGTATCATGAGCAAAATATAATTAAATGGACGGAGATGAAGGAGCAAGTGAACATCTCATGGATATACATGGTCGCCTTTGCATTTCAAAATTTACTCTATGTCTCAGTATATTTGAAAATACAACAATGTCCTTAAGTGAACGCATTGCAGTAGATAAAACCATAGATGATATTATATATGAGTTCTTTCCAGACTCTCTTAAAGGATTGGAAGAACTTTATGTGGCAATTCTATACCTACATATGAGTCCATCCAAGAAAAGGTCAAGAACATCAGCTCTGTGAACCATCAGGGGAAAAAACAGAACATCCATAGCAGTGAAAGTTATACCATTTTTCATGCTAGAAAGCATTAATGGGAGTATTTTGTATTCATCCGGGGTACTTACTGACGAGGCTCATCGCTGCTAGAGCTAGCACCAGATCTGCGCCTCTTCCTTCCCCTTCTTGGCTTCTCAATTGGTTCACCTGCTGTCTCTTCTAGACCAAGTTCTTCTTTTTTGCTGTCCTCCTGGTTCTCATCAATGGCCAGATGAGGTACATACGACCCACAGGTAACAGTGCGGATAATGCTCTGAGTCCTCTGGTAATCTTCATCTTCATTGAAGAGTTCATGCCCACCCATTTTTTTTGTCTCCTCCTCAGTTTCCTCTCTCAGTTCCCCCTCCTCGAGTGATTCATCTTCCTTGTCAGCTGTTGCATCGTCAGCCTTCACTTCTTTTGGCTCATCTTCCTTAACTTCTGCTAACTGATTTTCCGTTTCAACTTCTACAGGCACCCATCTTTCTTTTGCTTCCATTACCCCATCTTCCACTTTTACTTCTAGCAAGCCATCTTCTACTTTATCTCTTTCCATCTCTACTTCAGTCTCTGTGTAGTTATAAGGTCTTCTTTTCTTAAACGGAAGTTTGTTACCTGATTCAGAACATCAATCAATAATTCAATATATAAAGTTAGAACAACAAATTTTCCATGTCAACGAAACAAGAAAATCTTAGAGCCAAAAAGACATGTAAAGAAATGCAGCTTCGGTCTCAGAACCTTTTCTGTTAGTCCCTTGCACATGTCACCTCTAAGGGTTATGATCGATTTCGATTGATACCTATATAAACTATAAATGCAACAAGAACAATTGAGCTGAAATACATCACATGCCGACTGATGTAAGAAAATAGAAAACCTCATGTTTACCTAGTAATTACACACACAAGATGGCTTTAGCTATCATTACATTTCCCATATGCTAGCATCATATGACTCTATATATTAGATGTATAATCATGTACTCCACAGTGAACGCCTAGTACTGGGATTCCTTTCAATTCAACCCAATCATAAGAACTGATATGACCACCAAATCTCTTAAATCAACAAGAAATTCACTGAAAAATTACCCTCAAGACTTGGTCTCCATGAGGAATCTAATTTAAGAGTAGCTTACCTAGGTGGGAAAAAGAAAAAGGACGAGCGATCCCAGCTGTAACTGGAGAAGTTACGCCTTCTCCACTCCTGCAGCAAAACCATAGTTATTTCAATTTTATAGATCTCAAGTTGCACTTCTACATAGAAATCAATGAGTAAATGGAAAATTTTACTTTCGCCATCAATTTATGACTATTTAAATTACAAATAAACAGATCTGGAATTTATGTTCCATCAAAAGAGAATGTGAAAAGGGATGTGTAAAATAACTATGTATTCATCACAGATCTCAAAATTGCAGATTAGAAAAGAATCCATTTTTCCCAATTAGAATGAATAAATGGCGAATATAAATTCAGCAGGTTCAAGAGATGAGAAAGGACAAGAAATAGTTACCCCTGAGAACCAGCACATGCAGTAAATTGTTTCCCTTTATCTGCTTCTCCTTCACTCTGCCCTTCTGAGGCCTAAATGCAAAATAACATTTATATCATACCTTTTGTAAATGAAAGGATCTTAGTTGTTCTTAACTTCTCAAGTGTGATGAAGCTTGAACAAGAATACACTAATTAAACAATAACAAAATTGATCTTCAGCAAAATCAACAAATCGCAAATTCCTAAAGTGAAAATGAAAGGATAAGTAAAAGATTAATTACCGGATTTGTACTCATTTGCATGCAATGTTTCACATCTTTCCCCTTATCAAGACAATTCAAAGGCCCAATTTCTGTACTGCTTGCTGCTTCCAACTCATCATGCAATTGATCCTTACTTGAAACTTGAGCAGGGAATTCTTTTTTTGTATAGCTGGACCATCCAATGCGCCGATTCTCTTCTTCAACTACAAAGCGATCATCTGAACCATGTTGTGAACGAAGACGAGCAGCCACAGGTGTGGTGTCAGGTGGATTCATCTGAGAGAAATTGACCGGCTATTTTGAATTCTCATCTTTATCTAGGAAATTTCAAAGGAAAAGCAAGAAATTAGAGCTAAGGCTGAAGTTTGCAGAGGAATTCTACAGGGTGAATACTACGAGGGTAAGGGTATATATTCCTCAGGAAGAGTTGGTGAAAATCAATGTAACCAGCGGATTTTCTTGTTCATTAGTAACGTGTACATTACTGAAACGCATTTACTACACGTGTAGAACTATCTTTATTTCCAGTAATGCTTCGTATAGATGCCGTGTACAAGAGATGACCAGATTAGATAGTGTTTTTCATATAATCATAGCGAATGGTCAAACTGTAGTACTTAGAGTTCGCTTTTCATTGTCAAGAATTTGGGACCTGGAGTAAGATTTTCCAATTTCGTAAATAATTAACACACTGACAAGTACAGCAATAATCTGAAAAATGGTGACAGCAAAAACTCAGCAATAAACAAAGTATGCTAAAAATGAACAAGTGCATTAGCGAAAAAGGTAGATAAAGCCACACGTTCCAGACTCATGTTAAAATGGAAGAATTTTGTTTGATATAAAACACAGTTTTGAGATACAATATGTGCTGAAAATTATGTAATTTCTGACATAAATGTATTCACTAAATCTTTAACCATAACAAGACTTTAATTAATATTCTTTGAAAAACTGAGTTATTGATTAATTAAATAAAAGATTTAATTCTAAAAAATCTTCAATGCGTTTGAAAAGAACACACCTTAGACTTAACAACAATTGTACCTCAATAGCAGACTACTAAAAGAAATACCATGTCAATTCAAAGAGCTAATGACGCATCGAGACATTTTCCAGACCAAACGAAGTAAGTAAGGGTGCTCAAGGGACAAAACTAGCAGAACATTAGACATTGAGGACTTCGATGGTTAAAAAACTAGTTAAAATACTTACCATATTTGGACGTTAGTTGCACAATAACCTAAAACTCCAAACTCAACCTTCAACCCTGCATAAACATATAAAAATGGAAATGTACTGCAACTGCTGAGTTACTAATGCTAACCGTTGACAACCATTCAGTTTAACTCTACCACTGGTTTAAGGGATCCATGATCATACCTGTATGTATGTTCTGAATAATGTAAATTTCCTTACTTCTAATAAAATAAAACACCTATGAATTAGGCAGATAGTAACAAGTGTGTAATAGTTTTCCATGTGCCACATGGATCCATTACTAGCACAAGTGACTCCAGTGGAATTTTCGTTTGGAACTTTTGAGTTAGTGGTTCAGATATAGGACCTGTATTGTGTAAAAAGTGTGGCACATGGAAAACTATTACACACCTGTTACTATCTGCCTAATTTAGCCGCATTCGTCGGTGTTTTATTTCATTAGAAGTGAGGAAATTTACATTATTCAGAACATACATACATGTATGATCATGGATCCCTTAAACCAATGGTAGAGTTAAACTGAATGGTTGTCAACGGTTAGCATTAGTAACTCAGCAGTTGCAGTACATTTCCATTTTTATATGTTTATGCAGGGTTGAAGGTTGAGTTTGGAGTTTCAGGTTATTGTGCAACTAACTTCCAAATATGGTAAGTATTTTAACCATTGAAATCCTCAATGTCTAATGTTATGCTAGTTCTGTCCCTTGAGCACCCTTACTTGCTTCGTTTGGTCTGGAAAATGTCTCGATGCGTCATTAGCTCCTTGAATTGACATGGTATTTCCTTTAGTAGTCTGCTATTGTAGTTCGACTATTGAGGTACAATTCCTGTTAAGTCTAAGGCGTGTTCTTTTCAAACGCATTGAAGATTTTTCAAAATTAAATCTTTTATTTAATTAGAGGTCGCACTTGGTGCGATGGCAAGTGCCTTCGCCCATGAGCGGTAGGTCTCAGGTTCGAGACTTGGGAGCAGCCTCTCCATAAATGGGGGTAAGGCTAGCCGACATTCACCTCTCCCAGACCCTGCGTAAAGCGGGAGCCTTGTGCACTGGGTACGACCTTTTTTAAATCTTTTATTTAATTAATCAATAACTCAGTTTTTCAAAGAATATTAATTAAAGTCTTGTTATGGTTAAAGATTTAGTGAATACATTTATGTCAGAAATTACATAATTTTAAGCAAGATATACAAATCCAGCAATTTTCAAATCAATTGTTTTAACAAACAAATGAATGGAAGAGTATAACACTTACATCGTTTAATCATCTTTGGCATACATTTGTAACCTCATTCAGTTTCCCCATTGTCTGACGATACTGACGCAGCATCCTTCCATACAAGATCACCATAACCAAATTGTCTTGCAAAACAAGAAATCAACTGGTCCTGAACTACATCTTCCGTAGGCAGCGCCAAGCCCGTCTCCCTTCTCAATGATGTAACGTCTTTATTTGCAATTCCACAAGGCACAATTTGCTTAAAGTAGCTCAAATATGGATCCATGTTGAATGCCAACCCATGAGAGGTGACTCCATACGAAATCTGTACACCAATGGCTCCGATTTTTCTCTCTCCAACCCAAACCCCCGTTTCACATTTATTTCCAGGGCAAGCTTTCACGCCATACAGAGAAGCCAAGTCAATCATAGTCGACTCAAGTTTCTCCACAGATTTACGAGCACCAAGCCCCATATCATGAAGAGCAATAATGGGATACAAGATGGCTTGATGTGGACCATGAAATGTAATGTCTCCTCCTCTTTGTGTGTAGTGCAGTTCAGCTCCTATTCTTTTGAGTTCAGTCTCCGGAATCAACAGATTGTGATCGGTTAGTCGTTTGCCAAGGGTATATGTAGGTGGATGTTGCAGGGACACAAGGGTATCTGGAATCTTATGACTTTTTCTATCAGCTACCAGCTTTTCCTGCAGCTTAAGTGCTTCCAGATAGCTGATAGTGCCCATTTTCAAGACCTCAAGATTTCGCGAAACCCTCATTTCCTGCAAACCACTGTATAACCAATTATGCATCTTAGTTTTATCATCGCACGGAATTAACTCAACATAACTTGTTCCAACTTCATATCACATGATGTATAGACTCTAAAGAAATGATTGGCATGTTACAAATTCATAGATCAGAAAAAACCAAGAGAAGGGTGAAGTCACTTGGGGACAAAGAGCAATCATTCCAAGTCACGAACTTTACAGTTAATGCATGATATAAGTCGATAAGAACTCAACTTCCAGGTATAAGCTGATAAGGCATGATATAAGTTTTCCAAAGAAAAGTGAAAAGACAAGAACTTCAGAGTTTACTGAAGAGATGATATACGAATTTGAGCACACTTGTTCTCTACTTTTCTATAAATGGGGGAATAAGTGTTGGCACATTGTAAGATACTGTAGAAATAAATTTAAATCACTCGAAGTTTGGCGCTATAAACGGAAATTCATGATGGTTTTCGATGCATTTCCCAGAATATTAATACAGTCCGTTCTCCGCACATAGAATTCCTGTTTAAACATACACAGACAGACTAAAGCTTGACAATTGGGGTGCCATGGCAGCTCAATTTGGATAGAGCTACAACCAAAATGCAAACTGGATTAAACCCAATACGCTTCAAAGGCCATTGTGTAAGCGGCATTTCATCAAACAGTTGATGGGCTTTAAATGTTAAGCTTGAGCTCACAGATTCAATGTAGCAAAAGATTCAAAATTTACACTACCAAATACCAATGATACAACGTTCAAAGAAGCATTTCATCTAACAGTTAATGGGCATCGAATGCTAAGCGTGGATTCATTGATTCAAGCAATAAAAAGAACAAAATTTAACAACAAAATTAAGAGTCTTACGAAAGCTGAACCAGTCACTGCAGAGATAAGAGAGAGGGTGGTTCAGAGGGACCCGGACTTTGCTGGCTGTGACAGCACTTCGCGCAATCTAATCTGCTAAAGTTGAACGCAGCGTTTTACTTGTGCGTATTGGCATGTCTCTCTTTTAAAATGACTGAAACTGTTTTTATCAGAAAATGCTTTTAGTATCTAAAAGCACTTAAATGCTCCATCTTTCATGAAGCATTTCAAGTACTTTTCCAGAATTCACTCCTGTTTTAACTATAAAACGGTTCCAAAAACATTTTCACAAAATGTGCTTTCGATCATTTTAAAAGCACTTTCTCAACAAGCAATCATACATGTTTTTTTCTTAAGGGATAACCGGTTTTGATACGAAACTCACTTATTTTCTTTACTCCTGGTGTGTTAATAAACGCATGCTTGGTCAAAAATCAGTATGAGCAAGAATACGCATTCTTAGAAAGTATCCATGCTCGGGAGATTAGAATACAAAAGTACAGATAAAATAACTGTTCTTAACTCTTAACCGCTTGAGCTACAAGCACCAGCCGCTTCGCAATAGTCTCAAATCTCGATCGAGGAAGTTTATTCCGCTTTTAAGTTTATGGTTGATTTAGTAACTGCCGATCATGAAATTTGAACTCAGACACCAATACAAATTGTAGCTTCAATAGTTCTTTCCTATTGAAAAACTCATAGCCAATCTTTCAGGAACATGTTCCCTTTGAGCTGGTTTTTCTTGCATTTCAATAAGCTGTATCAATTGTATAGAAACATGAATCGTACAACATCGTCACTTTATTTTATCGTCCGATGTAAACGACGGAGAACAAAAATCCGAATCTGACTATTATATACGATAACTTACTATGACATGACGAACGATAAAACTGTCGAGGAAAAACAAAACAAAAATCTCTTTGTGCCATCTATATAACATGGTAATCAGATAACCATACTCATGAAGAGCAGGACAGCATGCAAACTCCAGGTCTATAAGCCCACGCAGGGGGCAAGCGAGCGTATTTCTCCATTCCCGGTTGCTCATCATATGGTCGTTCCATTACTTTAAGCACCCTCCGAACCTCCTCAAAATCACCTTGTTCAGCTGCATCGATGGCACTCTGGCACAAGTAGTTTCTAAGAACATATTTAGGGTTCACCGCATTCATTGATGCCTTCCTCTCCTCATCTGAGATGCCGCTAGAGGCCAGCTGTGCAAGCAACAACCATAATGTGTGAGAAAATCATATGATATATGTTGCTTTTGATGAGACTAGTCGCTGGACGAGTTGAATAAATCTTCTGAGCAAAACAATTTTTATGATGAATACAATGTTGGTAGCAAACCAATATACTTTTCCGCGATAGAAATCATAAGAAAACCAGAGTTCAGCGTACCTCCTCTATGTAGATTTTCACCCAGCTGATCCATGCCTCCTTTCGCTCCTGCCCAATATCTAATAGCACAGCTTTTAGTGGGTTCAACAACTCCTCTTCGGGAATGTTAGGATCAGCTTTGATATTGGATAGCAACCGAAAAAAGTTTGTGTAATCCACTTTGTCGATAGCCATGTTATTCAGAAGTTTACTGATCAGCTGTTTAATGTACTTGGGGAGACCAAGTTTTTTGGTCATTATAGCTTGATAGTCATCCATGAATTTGGTTCCATATCTGTAAATGATCCCCCGAAAATAAAAAATTTAGGTAACTCCTACTTCAACATACATTTAATTAGGATAAAGGTGTAGGAATGACAATTACCTTTCCATTGCATAATTCGCCTCCTTATCATCTATCAACTTGGCAGCTACAAGAGTTCTAGTGAATTGTGCAATATTCCACAAGCCAATATCAGGCTGATTTGCAAAACAATATCTCCTCCCAGGAAGATCCGTGGTATTTGGTGTGTAACTTGGATCAAATGCATCCAGAAATCCAAAAGGACCATAATCAATGGTAAGACCCAAAATGCTCATATTGTCAGTGTTCAACACACCGTGAGTAAAACCAACCCCCTGCCATCTGGCAACCAAGGAAGCAGTACGCTCAGCAACCTCCACCACCCAAGCTGTTAAAAAAACCATGATCGGAGAAAGTTCAGAAAAAAAGCTAATTAGGTATGCCCGAGTGTAAAACTTCTATCAGAAACTATTTTCGGAGTGGCAGCAAGGGTAGATGAGAGAAAAGACCAAGGTTCAGTATAAAAATCTCAATAGTAGTAACCACATTGGCAGAAATCTTGCACTAACAAATCTATCACTAAAAACTATATAAGCCAGATAGAAACTGGCAATGCATCAAATCATCACATTCTGTGATACACAATGACACCAACACCTTTACTCTAAAGGAAAATTAGAAAAACAATTACCTGCATACTTGTTAGATGTCAGATCAAGAACTTCTTCATTGCCTGTGTTGAAAGATAAACTCTCGCTTCTACTCATGTTCTCTATATGAGGAAAGTGATGCCTAATGGCATAGTCTGCAAGAGTACGAACAATTTCAAGGTCCTCTTTTTCTCTAGTGGCGTGTATTTGGTATGACCCAAAACGCAGAAATGATGGAGAAACCCTGCAAACAATTGCACCGGGCTCCTCTTTTGGATTGCCACTGCAAATGAAGACATGAGGAATTTCTTTTCATAAGAGAACATGAGAAACATATATTCCTAAAATTTATTCCTTTTCAAGCAAGAGAGTGATAGTTTAACATAAGATCAAACCAACAAGGCTAATATATCTCAAAAAACAAAATGGTGTGTATGGTTCTCACAGTAAAACATGATTGGGTAGAAAACTACTCAATTGCATAGAAATCTAATTAACATACTCATAGAACATGTCACGCGTGACAAATTTTCCTGTGGTCACAAGACAGAGAGCTCGAGTTGTTGGAATTCCAAGATTATGAATTGCTTCACTGCAGAGGAATTCCCGGATGCTACTGCGAAGCACAGCAAGGCCATCTGCAAACCGACTGTAAGGAGTCTTCCCAGCACCTTTAAGCTGAAGTTCCCATCTCTCAGACTTAGAATTAAGAACTTCCCCAAGAGTAATAGCCCGCCCATCTCCCAACTGCCCAGCCCACATGCCGAATTGATGTCCACCATAGCATTGAGCATAAGGCAACCTGCATAAATAAAGCATCCATCCAGGCTGCATGAAAAAAAGACAACAAAGCCCAAATTTGAATCTCCTTACATAATATTCAGAGAAGCACTTACGATCCCACTAAAGGAGACGCCCCAGAGAATAAAAGAGGGAAGTCTGGCCTTTCAAATCTGTAACTCCAAACAAGGTGGCAAATTAGTCCCATGAAACATGGCATACCACACGTGCAAAACATATGTACTCGTGCATCATTCATCAAAGTGAAGTACTATGGTATATCAGTCAATGGTTCAAGGCACAGCAGTAAACCAAAGCAATCATCTGATATACAAGATGAAAAACAAATGTGCATAGGAAACAATAATCTCAGGAAAATATCAGCACTTGAAGAAAAGGAAATTTCTATCAATAACAGGAATCTTGACAAACCATGTGAAAATGTGGTGACTCCATATGTATAAATATCTGGAGACCAATTTACCATATTTCCACATATGAGTTATAATAGTAGGTCATGTTATTCACACAATGATCTAATTTCCTAAAGTGCTAATCACAAGGTTCTTGTGCACAGGTGAAAACAGGTCCACATTCGAACATCAAAGGACCATCAAAACCATTATCCATAATACATGCTGTCAAACACAATTTTTCCCTCTTTCTTATTCTACTAAACTCACTCTTAAGATGAAGTTTATTTTCTCATCCATGTTCTAGAAAAGCATTAACACTTCCCAGGAGCACAAGAAACAAATACTCACTCTTTAGGATCCAAATCAAGAAACTCGGCGACTGATTCTGACCATGCAACAAGCTGAGGATTTTCGACTTCAGCTGACGGGGACACTTTCGTATAACAAGCATGCAACACCTGATAATCAAAACGCAGAATGCATAACATCAAATTGCAACATAACACCCCCTCAGTTAGAAAAAAGTTCAAAGTATAGCTCAGAGCAAGAGATCTATCACAATCAAGCCTATCAATAGCACAGTTCCATAGCCAAATTATGGCGATAAGGATCTATCTGTCTTTCACGATTCTAATCACAACATAACACCCCCCCCCCCTCAACTAGTTATCATCAAACTGGAGCTCAAAGCAAGAAATCAAATCACAATCAAACCTATCAATGGCACAGTTCCATAGCCAAATCAAGCTAACCCAACTAACAACACTCAAACTGTAAGCCACTCAGCAATTTCTTGAATGAGCAAGTACAAATTTCTAGATTGAGTAAGTACAAATTTCTAAGCAGTTATGTATAAATTTAACAACTTTTCCAATTTGGGGACGAAACAATAGCGCAAGTGAGAGCCTTTAACGAGTACACAAACATACACGCCACATATGTTTCATTTTCTTTTGGTTTTTCTCCACTTTCTCAGCAACCAAACAGAACCCAATTCACAATCACAAATCGTAAATCACTTGGCCACTTCTCGATTGAGTAACTACAATTTTCAAAGAATTTATGATTAAATTTAACAACTTTTCCGAGTTGGCACAAATAAAAAATGCAAGTGGAAGCCTTGAGCTAGTAGCAAACACACACCCCACATGTACGATACACTTTCCTTTTTCCTTCACTTTCTCAGCAACCAAACAGAAAATAACCCAATTCCTAATACACAGAAAAAATCAAAGCTAACCTCTCGTGGAATCGTATCAGTCCGGGGATCGCCAGGTAGCTCTCTGGTAAAAGAGTTGTCCCAATTTAGATCTTCGAGCTTCAACCTAACCCTCTGAGTGTTACTTACACCATTGCTCTCGCTCTTGCGAATCTTCTCATCGCCGGCCAAGCTCTGATTCTGCAAATCGTGCGTCACGGAGTCGACCGACGCGGCGGTGGCCTCCGGCGGGGGTGAGTCCATGGGAGCTTGCTGTTGGCTGCGGCCGGAGCTGAGGCTGCATGCGAGGAGGGGCAGCCTGGGAATTCCAAAGTTGTTGGAGGGGTAAAATGGGAATTTGGAAGGGCGACGGCGGAAGTTGAGGGCGGTAGATAGAGAGAGGCGTGGGAGGGAAAGTGAGGAGAGTGTGGAGGAGGCTTTAGAGGAGAAATGCGAAAGGATTTGCATTTTCTTCTGTCGGGCTTTTTCGTCTATCTAAATAAAATATGAGTAAAATTGATATAACCATTGTTCTAAAAAATTTCGACTAGCGCCACATAGGTCTCGTTAAGTGATTGGCATCATTTGATTAATTTACGTGAACTTTAATGAAAAGTTCTTATTATTGTTCATTTTAACGAAAAACCATATTTTTATACTAAAAAGTCAATCCTGGTACTATTCACTTTATTCTTTATTTTGTCCTTATCGTTTAAACTCAAAGTTTTCAAGTCCTTTTCATTAGTTTTCCTTTAATTTATAGGTGTTTAAAAATTAAGGAAAAAACTTTTAGATCTGCCTAGACGTCCGTCTAAACTCTCTTAGGTCACGACTCTTACTTTAACAGAATATAGATAATTTTCATTTTGCATTTTATTTTTACAATAAATTGTAATGACTTGTTGAATATTTAGATGAACACTCATTACATGTTTGTTTCACATGTTTTCAATATGCTCTTATACTTTATAATATTTATGTCATTTATTTTACAATTTATGTGTCGAATACAATTATATATTTTTTATAATATAAATAGATATTTATTTGTATATTATATAATAAATTTAATTCAAATTAAAATATATATATAATAACCATTGTTGATGCACAAAATCGGAAGGGTCTTGGAACAACGTAAATCCGACCGTGAATCTGCAAGAAAGTAAAGAACACAAGATGTATCGTGGTTCATCCCAATATTTGGGCTACGTCCACACTGATGTTGATATTGTTTCACTCTGAATGGCGAATATACAAGAAGGCTGGATGCAGTGTGCTCTCTTCCCATGGCCTAAGATTTGGCCCCCCTTAATGAGGAGGGTGATGACTCCTTTTATAGAATAAGGGTTCCTCACTTATTACATATTTGCCCCTTCATTTATTACATAATTACTTTTGAGTCTCCCGAGTATTTATACAAGATCTAAATACGGAGGCCCTAAGTATGGTACAAACAACCATCTTGGCTGCCTCGTCTAAACTCTTATCCTTGTTTACCGCCTGACTAGCGCTTAATGTCTTTTAGAACTTTGAATATAACTACAATTTTGTGAGCCAATTTTATAAATAATCCACTTTATTTGTTACGATTGAAATAGGTCCGATGAGCCCCACATCTTTATTTCTATACCAAATTTATCACACAAGTATTTAATCTCTTGATTTCAGGATTATTTTTCTTTTTCTTTTCTGAAACATTTAAAGAATAAAATAATCCAAGTGTAAAAATTTAAAGGAAAACTTTGTTTAATTAAAAATCATGTTATAAGTTTTAGTTTTAATAAAAAACCATGTTATAAGTTTTGTTTAATAAAAAACCATGTTATAGGTTTTAGTCTTTTTCTTTTCTTTCTTTGGGTTTTGCAAATTTTTCAAATGATGTGGTTGCAAACCTTCTTCTTTTTCTTTGAAACAAAAATATAGATCCTCATGCTATTTAATTTATATTTTGTATTATTTCGTTGAAATGTGATCGTCGTTATTATTCATAGTGTATTCGAGGTACTGTTTTTCAATTTTTCTTCGTCAATGAAGTTCATCATTTGTTTATCCAGAAAAAATATTTAAGATATGCATGTTATTCAAAAAGAACGACGGGCACTGTTTCTGGAATGTAAAAATAAATTGTTTCTGGATTTTAAGCAACATTGTTTCTGGAATCTAAGTCACTGTTTCTGGAATGTAAAAATAAACTGTTTCTGGATTTTAAGTAACACTGTTTCTGGAATCTAAGTCACTGTTTCTGACATTTAAGTCACTATTTCTGGATTTTGGTTCTTTTCTTTTCGAATACAGTGTTTGTTTGTGCACATCCCAAAGGGCTTGGTGTGGTTGCTGCTCGCCGAATCTAAACGGAAAGGAAGGCCGAATTTCGGCCAAAAATTTGATTGGGGCTATTCATCTTCTAATTCTTTTTCTTTTTCATACTTTCCTTCTTGATTTCTAATTATTTATTGTCTCAATTGATTAAGGTTTCTTGCATATAGGAATAGTAGAGAAATGTTAAGTAAATTCTCTAAAGTGAGACTCTTCATGTACTCTCTGTCACTTCATAGTTTAACGTCAATTATAGTGACCACATTATAAAACACTATGCAAAAAAAATGAGATGACAAAGAGTCTATAGTGAGTTTCACTTTTGAGAAAGTCTCCTTAGCATTTCCTCGCATAGTAATCTAATTAGTGTATTGTTTGCCGTGGAAATTTGCATATGCATTTTCATGTCGTTTTTCTTGTTGGCAAACTCATGCTATTACCATCATGAGTTTTACGGGAGTGTTGATAAATTTAACCTAGTTCATTATTATGCAAGGAAATATTCTGAGTAAGCTTGTAAGATTAGGATTTGGAAACGTTGCCTATAAAAATAAGAGTTTGCTTTATATTTCTATATTTGTGTGAGTGATGTTTTTTTTTTCTTTTTGGTCAATGCTTGATTGTGACTTTTGAAGTCTGCTGTTTTTTTTTTTTTTTGTCAAAGGGTAAATTTCATTACCACAGCCATATGTACAACAAAGACTCAAAACAAGTTAAGCACAAATAAAAATGGGCCACAACACACACAAAAAACAAAGCTCCAAGACCACCCTTGGAGCCCAGTACACACAAACCAAGCAAATAGAAAAACCTTATAAAACTAGTCTTCTTGCCGTTGCCAGAGAACCACTCAACAATCTTCACGAACCACCTCCCAACACAATCACCTAAGATCACACCATCAAGAACCCCAGAATTGGTGAAGCAAGAGGCCGCGACATCCTCAAAGAACCAGCAGGAACCGCCGCCATGAGAACAAGGAAGCACACAGGAAGAATGCACGAGCAACATCACCGATAAGGGTGAACAACAAGCAGGACCAATAATGGTCAACAATGGTGGTAGTGCAAGCACCCGAGCTAAAGCTCTACACACCACACACCCTGCCAAAGATGCGGAACAACTCACGGTAAACGAAGGCGATAACCGACCGGAATTGAGGATAAAGGTGGCGGAACCAAAAGATGCAGATGATGGAGGGGGATATGTAAAAGAAGGAGTTGTCTGTGGCCCGCAATTTCTTATATTTATATGAGTGTTCATATCGTTATTCCAGCTCCAATACCAGCACTTGTGAGCAGTGGAAGACTGCAATGCTAAGTTCTTCAACTGTGGAAAACTGGTCATATGAACCCATTTTTCAATTTCTTGCAATTGGAAATTGTCAAAATATTAAGATTATAGAAAATAGGAGATAAGCCAAAACAAAAATACTAGGGGTGTATTCAATTGGGATTTAAGGGATTTTAATTCTTTTAATGAATCTAGGGGTATTCAATCAGGATTTTAAGTGATTCTCTGAAATTCTAGGTGTATTCAATTAGAATTTTAAAATAGTTTATTAAAATCCTTAGAAATCCTGGTGTATTCAATTAAGATTTTAAAGAAGTTTATAACATTCTAGGTGTATTCAATTAGAAATTGATTTTAAAGAATTTGAGAAAGTTGAGGAATTAGAGGGAATTTGAGAGATTTCGTAGTGTATTTTAAGTATCCACAAATCTCACCTCATCCCATGAGATTTCGAGGGAATTGAATCAAAATTTTATATGGAATCTCTACAAATCAATTAAACTCCATAAAAATCCATGGATTTATAAATCCATTAAAATCTCTCACATTCTCAATTGAATACACCCCCTAAAACTTGAACATTAACTTTTAACACTATCGTCATTAAATAATTGATTTTTTTTTTTGTAATTGTTATTAGCATTTCAAAAATCTCATTTGGCACTCCAAACTTCTTATAATTAGAAAGACAAATACACTTATGAGAAGTGTAGAATGAGAATTTTTGAGTGCTAATAACAGTTCCTTTTTTTATATATATAAACAATATTAAGTGAGAAAACTCCTACGTAGGACCTAGATAAGGCACGTTCGTAACCATTTGTGCTACAAGCTCAGACTGCTTAGTTAATTTATACATTAAGCGCTCGTTTGAATGTACTTTTTAAATGATTGAAAGCACTTTTAGAAAAAATATTTTTTGGTTCCAAAAACACTTGAAGTGATTTTTGTAAGAAGCACCAGTTATGTGCTTCTTCCAGGAAGCACTTTAAGTATTTTTTCAGAATTTACTTGCATTTTTATTAAAAATTTGTTCCAAAAACATTTTCACTAAAAGTGCTTTTAGTAATTTTAAAAACATATCCAAATGAGCTATAAATTATTCTTATGCAAAAGAAGAATTATTAAAGGGTGGTATCCACATACCCATTTTTACCTATCACACATCTTTCTTAATTTTCAACTATCATATCAAATGAATTGAAGAAGATCAATAGACACAAATCAACAATAGTGTGTGAGAAGTAAAAAGAGATATATGAATAACACTACTCTTATTAAAATTAAAACTTAACACTTTACGGGCGCGTTTGTTTGGCCGGCTTAAGTTTCACTGGACTGGACTACTTAGCTAGAATCAGTAGTCCCCTAAACCCTTAATTAATATAATATTTTGGTAGAGGTCATCTCATCAGCCTTCTAGGCGAAGTGAGGTGTTAGCAGGTTACTACATTCGGCACATTGAAAGCTGAATCTGATATTGAACTTCGCAAAACTAGCAGCCTTGCCTTCAGGCTTTAGAACCCAAAGGTCGAGACGTGTTCCTTCCTCGGCTGCAATCGCAAGATCAAGAAGTCAGCAGCGTGCTCAACGCAACATCAACATATTTTACTTCTTGGCCGAGCTCGATTGACAAGTTGACACACCCCGCACACAACCGAATGACGTAGTTAGCTTATTAATTACTAGGCCTACACGCCAAGTAGGCTTGGTAGTTTTTATGGTCAACAGTTATGTAAGGATATTTTATATGTTTTTTGGCCAAAATAGCTCTTTATATTGGTATAACTATTTACTTTGGTCGTTGAAAATCGTAGAATTACTTCATGAGTTTTCCACCGTCAATCATTTTAGTCATTATGCGAAAAATCTTCATTAAATAAAGATAAAATGACAAAAATACTCTTAATTTTTTGTCACGTCATTATGGCCTGTTGTTTATTAAATAAAGGATATTTTTGTCATTTTAGTTTATTTTTTCACGAAATAATCAAAATGATTGACAGTTGACAAATTTAAAGACCACTTCTATCGATTTCAAATATCAGTGACCAAAGTGAAGAGTTATGCTAACTTCAATGACCATTTTGGCTGAAATGCCAATCTCTAGAATTTCTGTTTTGTAGATCAGGTTTCTGGGATTTCTAGTTTTTGTTCAAGGTTTGTTGGGATTTCTGATTTTTGTTCAATGTTTGTTGGGATTTTTGGGTTTTCTTCAATTTTTTTATTTTTGTTTTTTGGGATTTCTGATATCTGGTTTTTGGAGCGTCGTCGACCGTCACAGGTCGCCGAGCCACAGAGGTAGCTGGAGCTCTGTACCGTTTCCAGAGGTTCATTGGTTGTTGCGTCTCAGTGCTTGGTGTGCAGGAGGGGGACATCAGCTTGACATCAAATAGATTCAGGCGCTGAGGTGGGTGGGAATAGCCCGATGGCTCGGACCGTCGGTGTTGGGCCCACAAGATCGCCTAGCTGATGGGCGTGGGCTAAAGATGCTTTTGTCGATTTGGGGGATTGAATGCCCCAATTGGAAGGGATGGAACTGCTCTAAACGATCAACCACCGTTAATTTATACATTGAATAATTTTTGTTATACAATAGAAAAATTATTAAAATTAAATAGAAACTGACCATTTGACAAGTCTGCGTCAACGAAGTCTTTGTTTACAAATTTTGACTGGTTGGAGAGATTTTTCAATGTTCCCGTCACACAAAGTGATACACCATGTGTCCTTATATAAATTGTGGGTTATGTGTGTTAAAATGTTAATAACTTAAAAATTAAAATTTTCCACCACTTACATAAAAACACATGATGTACCATCCGCATTTCTGTCACAACTAAAAATTTTCTGACTGGTTGACTTATAAAAGTCTGAGAGAGGAGCATAGACATGGTGAACAAAAATTATAGAATGGCAAGGGTAGTGGGAAGGAAAGATGAGAAAATTCTGACAAGGCTGGCAGATGAATTCGAACAACTGGCCGCTCAGCTGAATTCTCCGGTACCAACCATGGAAATTGACAAGTTCACTCAATCCTGTCGTCTCGTTTCTCCTCTCATTCGACACTTGGGCGTCGCTATGAAGTTCGCCGACATCGAGTACTCTGCTAAGGTATTATTCATCTCTTAAACTTGATGAGAGTTTGATGCTTTTTGGCGATGGGTAGATTTGGCTTGATACCTTGTCATTTTCTTCTACATTAATCTGAATCAAGTTTCTAAAGTTTCATACAGAACTTGGGTGTTCTTTAGGGTTTTGGTGGATTGTGATTGATGAGGGGTTTGATTTCTTAAGTGTTTTTAAAACATCTGAAATCGTTTTTTATGAAAATATTTTTTAGAATCAATCCTTAATAAAAACGCAAGTGAATTCGGAAAAATCACTTCAAGTGCTTCTTAGAAGAGTGATCATTCCAGAAAGCACTTCAAGTGCTTCTAGAACTCAAAAATACTTTCTCTAAAAGCAGTTTTAGTCATTTTAAAAGCACTTTCAAACAAGCTCTTAAGTTATATAACGCTCATTTAAGACATTTTACATATTTCAAAGATGATTTTATTCATATTTTTCTTTTGATTTTGTTCAATACTTCCCTTTGATGTGAGTGTTTCTTTGGGTTTTGTGGTTATATTTTGATTAATGTGGATGTGGTTACCAGGTTAGTGCGGTGTTAAAGGCAGGAAAGTCAGTTAATACCCTAGAAGATTTGCTTGACAGTGACATACAGAAGAATACTATTAAGCAGTTTAGTAGTAGCTCGAGAATGCTCATCAGAGTGAAGCGCTCGCTTGAGCTGCTTAAGATAATATTCGAGAAAATTATGGCCTCAAGGTTTTACTTATCTCAACCCTAGCCTCGATCTTCTCTTAGTTCGTTGCTTCATTGACATGTCTTATAAGATCATTTTCGTTTGCAAATACAGTTTCATCCGTAGTTGTGCTGCTACGTCCACTCATATGTTATATTTTCTCATATCCACTTGATTTATATTTCCGTACACATGTTCTTTTTCTTTTTTCACTTGGACAGCGAAAATACTCTCATGGATCCGGTTAACACAGCATATAAACAAGTTTTTTACCCCTACTACGGATGGGCTAGTAGAAAGACTGTTGCGGGTGCACTGCAAAACCTTCCTACAAAGTCACTGTTCTTCAAAAGGCTAAAAGTAGATGGTAAGACTATTCTAGTATGTAACTCATCATTGTCGTCATACTATCTGCTCCCAAACCAGGTTTGGATAGCTACCGTGGCCAGTTGCAGGTTCTTTCTTTCATATCCAATATAGAGAAGAAGAAAAAAAAATTCTTAGGTTGAGATATTGACCATAATTAACATGAACTTACTATGAATGCTATATATGTAAATTCTAATATCAATGACAATGAATTATGCCGAGAATATTTGGTAGGCTAGATGACTTGGTTTACAAGACATTAGACTCTCAAGGATTCTCTGTGCCCTAATGGAGTAAATATATTGGAGCCTTAACCCTATACAATCTATGAGGACCCTTATTACGTAAACACAAGATATAGAATCATTATGGGACTCTAATTGATTTAATAGAGTTTGGGCTGAAATCTTTTTCGTTAATAGGCTGGATTTGATGAAAGCCCTAGCTATAAAACAAGGTAGCAGTCCCTGCTTCCATACCAGTCGAATCTCACAAAACTACAAACCTATTTCGTTACTAGAGTCCATAGGAAGTAGAAGACTACTTCTGTTTGCACCGAGAATGGCCATGCCTGCATGTAAGTGCTTCTGCTTTGCACTGCATGCATGTCTTGGTATACTTGTTGCTTATTTGCTATAACTGTAACCCTAGTTCTATATTGATCCATGGCTATTTTAGGGTTGGACTTGATTGGTAACACAGTTTGTTTGGTATTCTATTTTGTCAGAGGCATCGGCTTTTGTTCAGATGCAAAGGACAGTTACTGCATTGGATCCTCTGATACACTACATTGACAACTTATTCCATTCAAGGGAGTCAGTTCAAGAGCTACTATGCTTGCTTTGATTGATTTCATTCTTTCGCACTTTATGCATTTTTACAAGTCTGCTTTGATTTCCGTATTTCATGTGTATTGTATGATTGAATATTAGTGTCACATCCTGGCCCGGGCTCCCACCACATTCCGGGCTCGACTCCACCGTAGCACGATATTGTCCGTTTTGAGCCCCGACCACGCTCTCACGGAACTCACGTGAGCAGAACTTCCCAATGGGTCACCCAACTTGGGAATGCTTCGGCCCAATTCTCGCTTAACTTCGGATTTCCGATGGAACACGAAGTCAGTGAGCTCCCAAAAAGCCTCGTGCTAGGTAGAGATGAGAATATACATATAAGACTTACAGGATCCACTCCCCTAAGCGATGTGGGATGTTACATTAGTGTGATGAATCTTATAAGGAATCAGATTGTTATTTGATTTGTTGTAATTATGATATTTTTCTTATCTTCATTGTCCCAGCCATTCCATTCCATTCCATACTTCGTGTACTGTTGGTCAACTTTTTTGAACTAGAAGGTCTGGCCACAGTTCGAAGCGTGGTAACAAGTCACCTTTTCATATTGGCCACGGGTTCTTTACCTTTTTGCCACGCTTTGGTATACCTATCCCAACAACATCCACCGTGGGTATTTTCCCTTTTCTTGCAGTGCACTTACACATCACATCTTAAGGTGTATGGGCTATATTATTTGTTTTAAGTATAGGCTAAATTGGATTAATAATTTTTGTGGTTATAGAGTATTTAGAAGATAACCCTGTATAAAATAATTAGAAATTAAGCTCTTAAGGATAAGTCCGTAAGAATTCGAACCCAAAATTAAAAATTTCGTTAATAGCTCGCATTTGAGTTTCACGTGTGAAGCTAAAATTGTTACTTCATTTTCCCTTTCAATTTTGGGTTGAGTTAGGGTTATGACTGGTTGTTTAAGGGTTGACGTTTGATAAAAGAAAAAAAAGGATAAGGGTTGGCTGTGTGCGGAAAGCAGGGAAGGTTCATGTCCCTGGTCCCATATGGTCGGGTTTTGCAGCAAAAAGGAAAGAAAAGAACAAATCCAACGTTGAAGGATGGGATTGTAGATATTAGCCCACCCTCTTTTCAAATTCTTTCCTCTGCCCTTATATAATGACAAATGCTACGTCAATTCACGGCATGTTTTCATGGACTTTTGTGTCCAACTTGATAATTGGAAAAAGTTGTGGCTTCCTTTCATATCAAAGCACACCCGGAACGACCAATCAAAACAAGGACGACGGCAAAACAGGGGGAAGCCCTCAAGTTCAACAGCCCCCAAGCGGGTTGGCAAGTTTTGCATGCACCCCTCGGGAAACTACGTGGCGTCTTGATCCAATATAGACTGATATGTGTAAATATCTCTTTATATAGTACTGCATTATTGATTTAAAATGTTAACATAGCGCCGAACTCGGTCTAGATAAGTTCTTGTCAATTATAGGAGTAAGAAGGGATGCCATCTGATGTGGTTTTGTTCAGACAACATGTCTTGTATTTTTTCCGAAATGTATCAACCATTTACGACGTGATCCCCTGTGGATGACGTAGCTAGCCTTTCTACCACATCTTTGAATTTCAGAGTAGAATTTCAATATGAATTTTCCCTTCTGCCCATGTCATTGTCCCCAAATCGTTGTCCTGTCTTCTGGGCCAATAGGGTCTATATTCCAGAAGTTTTTGTGCTCAGGGGCATGTGGAATGACTGCTCGTGGCGGAATAGCTTGTAGATCACCATCTAGCAAGAATGCAAAGAAAGGGAAAAAATTTAGTTTTGACGGGATACGGATGGTACACCACGTGTTTTTATGCTAGTGGTGGAAAATTTTAATTTTTAAGTTATTAACCTTTTAACACACATAACCCACCATTTATATAAGGACACGTGGTGTACCACTTCGTGTGACGGGAACATTGAAAAATCTCTCCAAAGAAAGGGCATATTCTATATTTAATTCTAAGTTACATGGGTGTTTTTGCCTTTTTACCCCTCTTAATTTGACTTTAGTAATTAAATTAATTTATCTAACCCAAAACAAAATAGACAGCCTATAAATGTCTGAGCAACTACAGGCTCGATAGTGGAGAGGATTTTATGCTAACTATGAAAATAAAAAACATTTCTGAATTCTGATGCGTAGGGACCGTTTGGCAGAGAATTAAAAATTTTGTTTTAGAAAGAACGTACTAACATCCACAGTAGGGAACAGAAAATTAAAAGCATACAAGTCTATCCAGATGATAGTCGGACGGCGAGATAAGGCTAACGTCAAGGTAAGGCTAGACAATTTTGAGTAAATTTTTTATATATATCATATCATTTAATTCAATTTGTTATATAACATGTTTTTATTTTATTTTTAAAGAATGTATGTTTAAGGTGAGAGTTTTGAGTACATATTATATGGTGTGGTCTAAAAAAATTCATTAAATAATACCTAATAAAAAAATTAAGATCATAAAATGATTGTTTTGGTGAGATTAGGAGTATAAGAGAAGATGACGAGGGGCTAATAAATTAAAAGAAAATAAAAGAAAGAAAAGAGAAGATGGAGGGACCATCTCAAAGAGATAAAAATGGAGGCTCTTCTTCGCGCGAACACCGAACGGAGCCTCTGCAACAAATATTTTTTTCCAGATTTCGGCGTTCTCCATATACGTCCTCCCAGCCCCTGCCAGCTCCGCCTAATTCTGTCCAGGCGTCCGTCTAATATGCTTTACGATCTTGTGACCGAATTTTAGAACAGTGAGTCCATCGACAGCTCTACAACTAGAGAGAATTATCTGAGTGAATAGCTGTGCTAACACCCCACCCCAACAGCAACCTAGTCGAAGTTGAACTGGACGGCCATGGCGGCGGAGTCTAGTTGGTGAATCAAATCTCAGATCATCAAGTTGTCAGGTATAAAGAGAAAACGCAAATGTACAACCTGTTGGAAATTATGTATTTAATTTACTTAGATTAGATATTGAGAGTGAATTACGGATGTCATTTTATTTCTAAGTTATTTTCTTAACTCTCTGTCCAGAAGAGGAGATTTAAAATTACTAATTAATTTCAAAATGACAGAATTTGAAATTATGGATTTTAATATTTTTAGAATTTGTGAGCTTTTTTATTTGTCTAATAATTTAAAAGGATAATGTTAAGGATATTAATTTTTTAAACCAAATTTGCAAACCAAATGACATGTCACTAATAAAAAATAAACATGTTAGGCAACACTTAAGTAATAATTCAATCATTTGCTTTACAAAATTTGATTTAAAAATTTGATTTCCCTAGCATTATCCAATTTAAAAGTATAATAAAATTTAAATAAAGAAGGTTGGTAATTGGTAAATGTGCTAGGGGCCAGGTGATAGTCTAGTGGGTGGTGACGGCGGTTTGATGATTGGTGGCGGTGTTTATGGTGGAAGTCATAGTTGTGGTGTTTACAACAATGGTGATGGGAGTGGAGTAACGGTTGCAGCAGCGGCACTAACGACGATAATGGTGGGCGTGGTGCAGGTGGTGATGGCAAGGTGGTTGTGGCATGATGGTGGTAGAGTCTTGGGTAGTGGGTGTGTAAGAGTGAAGGAGATGATAACTAGTAAAAATTTAGAAATGAAACTATTTACTTGAAATTTAAAGTTGGAATTTAAAAGCCCAACCATAACCATAATATGCACTAAGTCTCTACCATCTTAAAAATGAACTCTACTAGTTCCTTGTAAATAGATTATAGTTATAGATATCTTTTTTAATGGTTGTAAATACTTAAAAATAGTAATCACGCACTCCAAATTACAATCACTAATAAACATCTTTTGTTTAGTTATATAGGCCACTAGTTGTTGTAACTCTCAGAAACTAGACATCATAGTATTCTTTTTAAGGATAAATTCAATATAAATCCAATTTTGTGATGTTATTATTAGGAATGACTACTTTCTAAAAATAGGTCCATCGATTATCTTTTTGTTAAGTCAGTGATAAAACTGAAAATTTTAAGGAATTGTAAAAATAAATTCCTTCAACTGTAGCGCATTCAGTCTCTTTACTAAATAATATACTAATGCAAGTGATTCTGTACCACAATGGTGGAAATGTGTTATGCCCTTGCATGACTACGTGGTTTGAACCTCATCGGTATCTAATCTAACATCTAACTTACTAATGCAGTAATGCTATTGCTTGACTAAAAAAATATACTGATATATTAACTTTTTTGTCGATAATCTACGTATATCACGAATAAATCGTTTTTAGTTGCCTATATTATAGATATTTTTTGCTTATAATCTACCTCATTATAATTAGTTGTATTCAATACTATCTTAAATAAATTTCGGTTGAAACATTTTATAGTCTTATTATTATTATATAAGTATGTGACAAGTAAACTCAATTTTGAAAACAAATTAGATTTTTGGACTGAATCTACACAAACTCTTTTTAATTAGCAGACAACTAGAAAGTCCAAGTATCCTTTTTTAATTAACAGACAACTAAAAAGTCCAGTTGAAGTTTAGCTAAAATTTAATTTTGTTGTTGTTGTAGCCTATTTTATCTGACAAGGGGAAGGGGATCGGCGGCAAGGAGAGAGATGCGTTTGTAGAATTGTAGGGGAATGTGTGTTGAGAGATATATTATTCCCCCTACGTAGTGCCTTTATTTATAGTAATAAGGTAGAGAAGAAATCCTTCTCCTCCAAGGAATACAAGTCCTAATAGGAATAACTAGAATCAAATCAAATTTAGGATTTACACAATCCCACATAAACTAGGAAAGTTTACAACACTTCCCCTTGAGTGTGTAAATACTCAAGTGGATTCAGCATCATGTAGAGGTTGAGGAAGTCAACTCGTCGACACTGATTATGGGAACAATGCTTATTCTTAATAAGGTAGGAACTTGCATAAGGAAGTAAGTCTCACAAAAAATCCTATGGCTATGGTAAAAAACCCGAGTAGAGACAAAATCCTTAGTTTAAGGAAAAATGCATGAGAAATACAAAGTCAAAATAAACGTCTATGAGACGTCATCAGGGATATGACCAGCCCAAGGTAGGTGCCTCGTTAAAACCTCGTTAGGTAGCAAAAACCCAGTTGGAAAAATGCTCCTAATCGTAGGGAAAAAGAGTACATTAAGATCAAACAAGTATACTTCAGGATACTCTCCCTGAGTTTGACACAATTCCAAAGAGAATTAGTAATGTTACAACTCCAATTCCTTGAACAAGCTTCTGAAACATCGTCTTCGGCAGTGATTTGGTGAAGAGGTCGACTAGATTGTATTGTGAATGGATTTGATTGACTTCAATATTCTGATGCTCTTGTTGTTGATGTAAGAAGAACTTTAGCGCAATTTGCTTGGCGTTGTCTCCTTTGATGTAACCCTTCTTGAGCTGTTCGATACATGCTGCGTTGTCTTCATAAATTGTCGTCGGGACATCTACAACAGGGTAAAGATTGCAGAAGCTTCGAATATGGCCCACTATTGCTCTCAACCAAAAGCATTCCCGAGTTGCTTCATGTAAGGCGAGAATTTTAGTATGGTTAGACGAAGTGGTAACTAAGATCTATTTAGTTGACGTCCAAGAGATTGCGGTGCCTCCAACGATAAAGACATAACCCATTTGAGAACGTATCTTGTGCAGATCAGATAAGTATTCTGCGTCATCATAACCAACAAGGCGAGAATCGACTCGAGAAGCAGGGGGTGCGACATCATTCAAGAATCCGTAGGGATATAATAATCTGTAGTACCCCTAAGGTAACGGAAGACGTCTTTAATACCAGTCCAGTGTCTGCTTGTTGGTGCATTACTGTATCTGGCCAAAAGATTAACAGCGAGGATATGTCGGGTCTAGTGCATTGAGCTAAGTATAATAAAGCGCCTATCGCACTTAGATAAGGAACTTCAAGCTCCAAAATCTCTTCATCATTCTCCTTCTAACGGAAGAGATCTCGTTTTGCATCTAGCGATCGAATGACTATATGAGTACTCGAAGGCTTCACTTTATCCTCGTTAAAGCGGCGCAACACTTTCTGGGTGTAGTTTGATTGATGAACTAAGATTTCATCTGAACAATGCTCTATCTTGAGACCGAGACAATATCGAGTCTTTTCTAGATCTTTCATCTCAAATTTCGACTTCAGGTGCGCAGCAGTTCTCGCGAGCTCTTCAGGAGTTCCGATAAGATTCATGTCATTGACATATACTGCAACAATCGTAAATCCGGAATGTGACTTCTTAATGAACACACATGGGCATAGTTCGTTGTTCACATATCCTTGACTAGTCAAATACTCACTCAAACGGTTATACCACATTCTTCCGGATTGCTTCAAACCATCAAGTGAATGCCTCAGCCGAATTGAGAGTGTGTTCTGGGGTTTGGAAACATTTGATCTAGTCAATGTAAGTCCTTCGGGAACTTTCATGTAAATTTCTGTATCAAGATCCCCATAGAGATATGCAATTACTACGTCTATCAGCTGCATATTCAGTTTTTCGGAAACTACCAAACTGATAAGGTAGCGAAAAGTAATCACATCCATAATGGGTGAATAAGTTTCGTCATAGTCAATCCCGGGGCATTATGAGAAGCATTGTGCAACAAGACGAGCTTTGTAATGCACAATTTCGTTCTTCTCATTACGTTTTTGAACGAAAACCCACTTGTAACCAACGGGCTTCACGAGGAGTAGGAACTACAGGTCCAAACACCTTATGTTTCGCAAGCGAATCGAGTTCGAGTTGGATTGCTTGTTTCCAGTTTGACCAATCAATTCTACATCGACGTTCATCAACGGAATGCGGTTCAATGTCATCACTCAACACGATCTCAGTAACTACTGCAAATGCTAATGAATCGTCGACGATCATCTCATTTCTACACCACAAATCATCTAAGCTAGCATAATAGACCGAAATCTCACGATTCTCGAAAGAATGATTCGTCCTTTCAAGGACGTTTCCGTAATCTAGAATTTCCTCATGAGTGGGATATAATGAGTAAGCGACAGTTGGATTCACGGTAGGCTCTTCAGGTGCCTGTACCATGGGTTTCCTCTTCTGGGGGTGTGAATCCTTTGAACCAAGAGGTCTGCCATACTTTTGTGTAGGGGCAGATGATTGGCTAGCTTCTAATGTACGTGGATCAGCCAAAGTGGTGTCCTGGGCCTCCAGGAGGGAAGTCTGTATTACATTTGGTATATCTATCTTTGCAAGCGTATTCGCAATTGGAATATGTGATCTTGTTACTCGCGCTAGATCGTTGAAAGCATCTGGCATGCTTTAAGTTATGCTCTGGAGATCTAATATGCACTACACTTTAGTTTCAGACTAAGCGGTGAGAGGATCTAAATGAGACAAAGTGGGAGTCGTCCACGATAATTCACGTCGTTATTCAGGAATGTTGACGTTCTTATCTCCCCCTAACAACGAGAAGACAGTCTCATAGAAGTGACAATATGCGAAATAAGCGGTAAACAAATCATTTGTCAAAGGTTCTAAGTAACAAATGATCGAATGAGAATCATATCCAGCATAGATTCCCATCATTCTCTAAGGCCCCATTTTTGTATGTAAAGGCGGCGAAATCAGCACATAGACCACAACAAAAAATGCGCAGATGCAATATGTCGGGTTTGTATCTGGTAACCAACTAAAGGAAGTTATATGATTATGTCGCAACAGACCTCAGGAGAACTAACTTAGTTGCGTGCAATATTGAATGGCCCTAAGCAGCGTTTAGGAGCTTGGTACATATGACCAACGTTCAAGCAATCATTTGTAAGCACTTAATGAATGCCTCTGCTAGGCCGTTCTTGGTGTGAACATGGCGTATAGAATGTTCAACTTCAACCCCAACCGACATGAAATAGTCATCAAAATTTTTAGATGTGAATTCTCTAACATTATCCAATCGAATATATTTGATCGGATAATCAGGGTGGTGAGCCATAAGCTTGATAACCTGAGCCAACAATTTGGAGAATGCAGCGTTCCTTGTGGACAACAAGCACACATGTGACCAACGTGTGGAAACATCAACCAAAACCATAAAATATCTAAATAGTCCGCAGAAAGGGTGAATCGATCCACACATGTCCCCATAAATCCGTTGTAGAAAAATGGGAGAATTCGAACGAATCTTGTTATAAGAAGGCTTAATGATAAGCTTTCCCATGGAGCAGGTTTGACATGTGATTCCTTGAATCGAACCTAACCTTCGGGTTAGTGGATAACCATGTAATGATTTGAGGATACGGCACATCGCTATTCACCCAGGATGTCCTAAACGATCATGCCAAAGTGTAATTTCGTGCGCAGTACCAGAGGTAGGGCCAGCCACATAGTAGCATTCTATGGGGCGTATGGTTGTAGTATACAGACCACTCAGGACATGCTTAATCTTCTCTATAATATGCTTCTGGCCATATTCGTAAAATGTTATGCATATAAATTCAACTTTATTTTCTACGTGGTAATTGTTTTCTCTAATATCCTTGAAACTCAACAACGTTCTTTCGGAACGTGGAGAATAAAGTGCCTCATCAATGGTCAAGATTGTACCATTGGACAACATTATATGTGCCTTACCGTATCTTTCAATCAGGTTGGATGGGCCTGAGAGGGTTGTCAGATGTGCATTCTTAGGTATAAAGCTAGTGAAATAGATGCGTTCACGCAAAACAATGTGCGTGGTTGCATTATTTGCCTGACAACTAACTTCCCCACTAGTCATACCTAGAATGAAAAATTAATTTGAATTGGTCACATACATAAAAGTTCTTAAAAACAAATATCCATTCAAAATAATTTCATTTATTCAAGGATGGTAATTAATTAAAAACTTAATATCCAAAAACAAATCACCAACAAATAATCCAAGCATAAAGGAAAAAATTGTTCAAAATTCAACCAAAAAACAAGGGGGGTTTAGCCACATCCTGTGGAATTCGGCCCCAACATCTTATTTCAACCAAAAAATAGTTTATGTCCAAGATTCTAATCTTCTATAGGGGTGGTATCTTCTTGAAAGTAAGAAACCTTTATCTTTGTAGTTTTCGGTTCGTCCACTTGCATAAAGTGTGATTCAAATTTCTTACGACGAGAATGATATTCAGCTACAACCTTATGGGGAGCTCGGCAAACACTGGACCAATGGTCATTTGAACCACAGCGATAACACATATCTGCATCCATGGTTTCAAGTGCTTTGCCCTTATTCTTGAAGTTCAGGGCATTGGGAGCGAGATTTGGGCGCTTATGGGCTTTGTTTCCTCCCTTAAGTGGGCATTGACTCTGTCGACCTTGACGGGGTGGCTTCTGGCCGCCCCTACCAAGCCTCTTTTGGCGTTTTGGGCGTTGGTTTGTGCTATAATGTGCTTCAGGCACAACAGTCGCCCCAGTAAGTCAAGCTTGATGATTCTTCATCAACAGCTGATTCTGTTTTTCAGCGAGAAGTAAAATAGAGATCAAATCCGAAAACTTTAGTGAACTTCTGAGCTCTATAATGTTGCTGTAGGACAATATTAGTAGCAGAGAAGGTCGAATAGGTCTTCTCTAAGAGATCCTCTTTGGTTAATGTTTCATTACAAAACTTGAGAAGTGATTGGATTCGACAAACTTCAGAATTATATTCATTCACAAACTTAAAGTCTTAGAAGCACAAATGTTGCCAATCATGTCTTGCTTTAGGCAATAAGATGTTCTTTTGGTGATCAAAACGATCAGCCAAAGCGACCCATAGTGTTCGCGGATCCTTCTCAGCAAGATATTCAGTTTGCAGAGCGTTATAAATATGTCATCGGATGAAGATCATAGCGGTGGCTTTCTCAGCTTTGCCAACCAGATTGTCCGTCTCATCTTCAATGGTGGGACGCAAATTCTTTACAATGAGGTGGAGTTTCACATCTTGGATCCACTTGAAGTAGTTCCTTCTAGTTCAAAGTGGTGAAGTTGAGTTTGTTCAAATTGGACATGTTCTTATCACAAAATAGATGGACAAGATGTGGTTAGTGTAATGGAGAAAAATCAATCCATTCACATATGAGTAGAACATTCTAGTTCTAATAGACATGCATTGGTTTAAATTTGCATGAAAAACTTCGGGTTTTCATGGGTGATGTTTCTAATGCAAAACTTCAGATTTTCAAACAAGGCATGTTTATAGAAACTTCAGGTTTCGAAGTAATTATGAACTTCAGGTTCATATGTTCCTGCAGGCAAACACAAATATATACATATAAATATGCAACAAGAAAATATGCAAATAGAACTTCAAGTCTGTAATTATAATTGAATTAATTATTCGGACTTCGGGCCAAATTTAAAGTGAGGGTGAAAAATATAAAAACTCATTGGGCCTAAAATAATTAGGCAATTAAACTCAATGTCCAAAATAAGGCTAAAGCCCACGGGTGGGCTAATCAAATAGGTGTCGTGCGTCCTAAGCCCAAATGTTGGGCAGATTTGGTCTCCGGCCAAGCATGCAGGCTGTCTCAACATCACAAAATAAGTGGGTTGCATGCGTAAGCCCAAAATAGGGGCCCATGAAGGGCACTGATCAACTGTGATGCAGACACGGGAGCATAGATACTCCAATGAAGTTGGGATCCGGTGCAGTACATAAACACACACACCAGTAGAAGCTAGGATTCTATGTGACGCAATGCATGAGAGAAATGGCAAAAGCCTAGATGGGCTAAACTGGTTCTTGGGCCGGGTTATTACCAAAGCCCAAAGGGCTGGTGATGTGGGTCAAAACTCTCAGCACAAGCGGGCCAAAATATAAGGTTGCTGTGCGAATGGACCGAATGGAATTCGAGGCCCGTTAGGGCTCGGGTGGGATCTTCAAGCCACCCTAGCGGCGCTGGATGTGGGGATCTGCAGAAGCTGGTTGACGGCGCCGCTTTAGGCAGTGTTCCATGGTTGGTGCAAGCCGTTGGTTCATCAGATAACCAAAATTGAACGATGGAAGTGGAATCTCAATGTCCATGGGGGAGGAACCGAAGGGATTCGATTAAATCTGATTAAAAACTCACGAAATTCTTCTGGAATTTCAAAAAATCGTTGGTGAAAACGATGAGTTTCATCCAAATCACACGACTGCCGATCGTGTTTCGTTTGAAAAATCGATAGGGAAAACCTAGGTTTTAGGTCGAGGGTCGAGAAGAAATCGTTCTCCTCCAAGGAATACAAGTCCTAATAGGAAAAAATAACCATAATCAAATCTAATTTAGGATTTACACAATCACACATAAACTAGAAAAGTTTACAACAGTTGCCTATATTATAGATATTTTTTGCTTATAATCTACCCCTTTATAATTAGTTATATTCAATAGGGGTGTGATATCCACACACTCATTTTTACTTCTCCCACATTTTTTTTTTGTTTTTTGTCGTCGGATCGGATGAATTGAAGAAGATCAATGGACATAAATTAACAAGGTATGTGTGAGAAGTAAACAGGAGTGTGTGGATAGCACACCCCTATTCAATACTATCTTAAATATATTTCGGTTGAAATATTTTTAGTCTTATTATCATTTAGGTATGTTACAATTAGACTCAATTTAGAAAACAAATTAGAGTTTTGGACTGAATATCATTTAGGTATGTTACAATTAGACTCAATTTAGAAAACAAATTAGAGTTTTGGACTGAATCTAAACAAACTCTTTTTAATTAGCATACAACTAGAAAGTCCAAAGTATCCTTTTTTAATTAACAGACAACCAGAAAGTCCAGTTGAAGTTTAGCTAAAATTTAATTTAACTTCAAAATAGGAAGGATGAGAGAGATTTTTAGTGTGAAGAGAAAATGGATGATGCACGGTGCATCAAGTAACATAATATAACTGGTTGAAAATTTGAAAATAAAAAAGTTTATAATCAATTGTATTATGACGCTTGGTACCCGGGCATACTCTTGGCAAACTGAAAATTTCTCGAAGAATGATTAGAGATGCTCGAAAGTGTTTAAAGAGTCTGTTCCCAGTCCTACTCCAAAAACTACAAAGGAAAAAAAAAAATTAGTTGGATTCTTTTCTCTGCTGATCCTTCGTCTACCTTTTCTGTTATCAGACATCAGAAGAACTAAGCCTAACCATCCTCTCATAGTCATTGAGATTCGTCCGAGGCACAAAACGTTCTCAAAGTCTGTACCAGTTGAAGCTAAAGAAGATCCAGGTTAGTCATCTAGTTGTCAAAGTCCTACGTAGTTTTTCTCCGTTTTCGGTGATACCTATTTATTGTTTGAACTTTGAATCTTACAATTTTTTTTCTCTGTTAATTTTTTTTTTTTAAAAAAAGGACAGGTATGGAAATTGTTAGTTCCGTACTACAAGTTGGTGAGTTGTTATGGAATCCAGTGAAGCGTAATGTGGGTTACCTGGTGCATTACAAGAGGCACATACAGTCTCTTGAAGTTCTGGTAGAAAAGCTTGAGACCACGCAGAATGATTACCGGCGAAGAGTGGATGCGGCGTTAATGAATGGAGACGAAGTTAGGTCCGAGGTTCAAAAATGGCTCAAGGATGCTGACAAGGCCATAATCGATGCGAAAAGACTGAATAATGAAGCCGGAGAAAACAAAACATGCCTTGGAGGCTGCTGCCCGAATTTGAAATGGCGTTACACTTTAAGCAAGAGAGCAGTTAATGAGACAGAAGAATTGAACAAGATTAAAGAAGAGAAAAGGTTTGAAACAGTTTCGCTTCAAGTTCGCCGACCCGTTGAGTTTGAGTCCACCATGTCAACAGGAGATTTCGAAGCATTTGAAGCAACAAGGCAAGCCATGGATGGGGTCATGAAGGCGCTGAAAGACGATAACATCACTGTCATCGGGGTTCATGGAATGGGAGGCATAGGCAAGACAACCATGGTGAAACATGTTGGTGTGCAAGCGTGTAAAGACAAGCTCTTTGATCATGTTATTATGGCTGTCATTTCCCAAAACCCAAACCTGGTAAAGATTCAACAACAGCTTGCTGAAATGCTCGCCTTGAATTTGAATGAGCAGACAGAAATAGCCAGAGCAGCTAGATTGAAGGAGAGAATAATGAGAGGTAAAAAGATCCTTATAATTTTAGATGACATTTGGAGGACAATAGATTTGTCTCGCATAGGGATCCCCGATCATTGCGAGCTCCAAAACTGCAACTCCAAAGTCCTACTCACCACAAGGATATGGAATGTATGTCATGCCATGAAGAGCCAAGAAAAGATCCATCTCGATATCCTTTCAGAAGAAGATTCTTGGGCCTTGTTTGTGAAGAAGGCAAACAGGTCTTTTGAATCAACCAATTTATGTGACATAGCAAGGAAGGTAGCCAGAGAATGTGGTGGTCTCCCAATTGCTTTGATTGCAGTTGCAAGAGCACTCGGAGATAAGGACTTGGAAGAATGGAGAGAAGCAGCTCGACGACTAGAGATGTCCCAAACTACCAACCTTGATGACGAGGAGGATGTGTTCAGATGTATAAAGCTGAGCTACGATTACTTGAAAGGCAATGACGCGAAGTCATTTTTCTTACTTTGCTGCTTATTCCCGGAGGACTCTGATATCCAAATCGAAGACTTGCTGAAGTATGGTTTTGGGAAAGGATTGTTTCGAGATGCCAATTCAATGCAAGATGCCAGAAGCACAGCACATTTGGTGGCCAAGTACCTTAAAGCTTGTAGCTTGGTTTTGGATGGTGAACAAGATGGATGTGTAAGAATGCATGATGTGATTCGGGACATGGCAATGCGAATTGCATCATCTGGGGATGGCCAAGGATTTTTCGTAAAAGCTGGCTGCCACTTAAAGGATTGGCCAACGAATTCACTTGAAGACTACTCTGCAATCTCCCTAATGGGGAATGAAATTTGCAATCTTCCTGACGAGTTGGTATGTCCAAAACTCCAGATTTTATTACTACAGTCAAATTTTGAAGTACAGGAGATCCCAGAAGATTTTTTCAAAAGCCCAAATGCATTAAGGGTATTCGACATAAGTAGTACCGAAATTTCTTCATTACCATCATCATTTAATCTCTTAACCAAGCTCCAAACGCTGCATCTAGATCGTTGTCAGTCAATAACGGATGTATCAATTCTCGGAGAACTGAAAAAACTGGAGGTTCTTAGTTTGAGAGAATCTGGTATTGAGGAATTGCCGGAAGAAATTGGACATTTGACCAATTTAAGGATGTTGGATCTCACTATGAGTACCTACATTGCAACAATTCCATCCAAAGTGATATCGCAGCTGTCCAAATTAGAAGAACTATACATGCAACTGAGTTTCGCTGATTGGGGCAAGAAAGTTGAAGGAGAAGATGACAAAACTAATGCTAGTTTTGATGAGCTAATTAGCTTGTCTTCCTTAAACATTTTGAAGGTTGACATATCTGATGCAGAATGCCTTCCGAAAAATGTAGGGTTCCTTCGAAATTGGGTAAATTTCGATATATGTATCAGCAGAGACCCAGTTCATCGGTCCATGAATGTCCACTTATCAAAGAATATTGTTACTCCATATTCAAGAGCCTTGTTTCTGGACACATCAATCAATACACTGCCGGATTGGTTTAACACCACAGTTACGGAGAGAGTGGAGAAAATAATCTACTTGGAGCCTAGAAGTTTAACTGACATTCTTGTGGAGTATGATCATGGGAAGTTACATGGACTCAAGTTTTTGCATCTCCAAGAGTGCCGTGAGATAGTAACTTTGATAAACACAGTAACCAGGATTCCAAATAAGCCTGTGCTCGAGAGCTTGGAAGAGTTGCATGTCTTCTGCTGGGACTGCTTGCAACAGTTATGTATTGGTGAATTACTGCCGGGGTCGCTTGGAAATCTCAAGTTCTTGGAGGTGGAGCAGTGTGAAGGTGTGGCGGAGGCACTTGTTCCATCTAATCTGTTGCAGAGACTACAAAATCTTGAAGTACTTATTGTATGTGCCACTGGTATCGATTATATATTCAAATCTCAAGGGCTTGAACAAGGAGAAACGGTCTTGACAAAATTGGGAGAGATGAAACTGGAGAATCTACCGGAACTGACAAACATATGGAACGGTCCTTCTCAGCCTGACATGTTTCATAATCTTAAATCTCTGACGATTTCCAAGTGCAAGAAATTGAAAACTCTCTTCACATTCGATGTAGCTCAATGTCTGCGGCAATTGGAAGAGCTTTGGGTGGAGGAATGTCATAGCTTGGACAAACTTTTCGGCCTAAGCGAGGGATTTATAGTGCAGGATTACGAGATCATTTTTCGACAACTAAAGAACTTAGCATTGCAAAGTCTTTCATCGCTGACAAGCGTCTCCGCTGGAAGTGCTAGACTTTTGTTCCCTTCACTGGAATACTTGCATGTGCTTGACTGCCCCCGGTTTTTAACCTCTACTTCTGACTTCCACAGCAAGATGCAAGTCCAACTAAACAATGAGCAACATTTCCTCTTCCTAAGGAAAAGGTACACCTGTTTCATGCGTAAATTTCATTTGTCTTTTCTTTTTCATTGTATTTTCTCTATTTCCTTCAAAGGAAATGGCTAAAATTATCACAAATCAAATACCAATGTTGAACTGATCAAAATTAAAATTATCGACAACAATCAATCAATGAGAAATGTTAATGAGATTCTCTCAAATGTAAGACTCTTTGTCACATCATAATTTTGGCACAATGTTTTATAATATTGGCACGAGAATTGGCAATAGCAGCGAGTTCATGGAAAGTCTCAATTTTGAGAGAACCCCCCTTCATCAATCAATTATTGACATTGAAATTTGAAAATAAATTGAAAAAGGGTCCAATTAATGATCTGCAGCAACATTACTAATTGTCATTTACATACATTCAAATCTTTTCTTTTAAAGCAATTGAGTAACTTATTATCATAATGCAGCTAGTTTGTTTATCTTTTTCTTTGAATTTCTTTTAAAGCTTGAAATTACAGAAACAGTTATAAATTTGTTTGGAGAGCAAAAACCAAAGCAAATTGTTGACTTATACTTCTCCTTTATTTTGAATTGACCAAAAGGTTGTGGGAGCAGAGGTAATTAATTTTCCTGGAAGAAGAAGCTGATGATAAAAGCAAGAGGAGATTTTTCAGGTTCCACAAGAAGAGTAGTATTACAATATCTGGGAGACTAATTTACCATATTTCCACATACGAGCTATAATAGCAGTGTCATGTTATTTACACACTGATCCAATTTCCTAAAGTACAAACCACAAGGTTCTTGTGCAGAGGTAAAAACAGATCTGAATACGAACATTGAGGGTGCGTTTGTTGCATCAGACTATTTTAAATTGAAATTGCTTCACGAAATAAGCTTGACTGATTTAGTAAAGCGTTTTGTACAGTATCAGACTAAAAAATAAAATAATTAATAAAATCTAATATTATATTATTCAATTCATATGTATTAATATTTTATTAGTAATTTATCTTCTTTTTATTGGAAATCTATTCCTTTCTCTCTCGAAACATCTCTTCTTTTATTATTTTGCACATGCCCAAATCGGAAAAGTTGTTAAATGTTCTACATAACTGCTTAGAATTTTGTACTTACTCAAAGTAAGAAATGAAAGCACAATCAAACCTATCAATGGCACAGTTCCATAGCCGAATTAAGCTAACCCAACTAACAACACTCAAACTGTAAGCCACTCAGAAATTTCTTGTTAGAGTAAGTACAAATTTTTAAGAGCATCTTCAAATAAGATGTCAAAATGTTCAAATCAATAATAATGGTAAGAAATATTTTCCAATCGAGAAACCAAATCTAATGTGGCATGACATGAAATAATATATGTGGATGCAAATTTTCTCCTCCTCGATCTTGGACGATTTTGCACCTACAAAACAACTAGTATCTTAGGTTAAGGCCAAAAGCCTCACGCGCCCACAATGAATGGGGGGACTTTGGCCGAAGAACCTCCGATGCCAAAGTTAGAATTTTAGAGAGAAATAGTGTTTAGAGTATTTAGGATTTTTTGTAAGAGAATTGGAATTAGTGTTTGGTGAAAATGGGAACCAATATATAGGAGAGGAAGGGTGTGGCTGGCCATTAGGCCAATGATGATTTATTTTTGGGGGTTATGGAGATAATGGGCTAGTTATTTTGGGGAGTTATGGAAATAATTGGCTAGTTAATTAGAAAATAATAATAACCTAATTAACTAGCTATTTGAATGTCATAAAAGGGAACAAAATGGTAGCAAAAAGCAAAAAATAAAAGGCATGGCCGGCCCTACTGGGTAACCGGCCTTTGGTATGTTTTTTGGTTATAATTTGGTGGTTTAATTGATAATTAAGGGATTGATTAGGTAATTATCCCTTAATTAGTCAATTTTAGGAAATATGAAAGGAATATATTATTTAGCTAATTTATTAACTAAATAATGGAATATAAAACATATAGAATAAATTAGATTTTGGGAATTACCTTATAGAAAGAATTTGATGAAATAGGCTTTAAATTGTTACCTATTTTGGGCACTTTTGACTTGGTTGAAAGATAATTGCCCGCTGCTTGCATGTAGGAATCCCGGTATGCCTCAAGGGTATTTTTGTCCTCTTTTGTCCAAAAGTTCACGTGTCGCCTAGTAAATATTTTTGGCTCCACAATATATCTCCCCCTTGACCACACATGATATCAATTGGGCCGACCTCATATGAACAAGCCCAATCCAGAACAATTAATGTCTGCACCACGAACAATAGTTGCAAATTCCACCTTTGGGAAGCCATGGAATATATCCCTCATAGTTGAGCGATGAGTAATATTGTTTTGCTTGGCCAGTGTTGCTTCTTGCTTCTGATTCCCTCATGCATGTTCCACTTTGCTTGGGGTTGTTGACTGTCTTTTTGGTTTGGTCGCTTGGCCTGGTTCCTGACACGCCTTGATCTCGATGTCCTCGAAACATTAGGATGGTCACGTGCTGGCCAAACCTGAGGGTGACGAAAGCCATTTAATTAATGCAAATGTTGAGAACATGTAAACATGCACATAAATTGTATCTAGACAAGAAGATGTGACTATTCATGCAGTAGTAGAGTATTAACACAAAACTAAGATTCAACTGCCAACAATGAATTGTTATGATAATGCATGACATGTTCAGAGCATACAACTAATACAGAGTACAAGTGGAAGGTAAGATAGAGAAGTGGTATTACAATAGATGCCAAAGCAGAGAGAAAATAACACGATGTAACTAGTAGGGGAATGCCTCATAGCTCGGGTTGTATTCCTCGTACCTAGGTCATGAGGGGGTGCAAAACAAACATGAGTGGACCAAGTTGATGTATATAATATTACTAAAACAGTTATCAATATACTAACCCCCAAGTTTTATGAAAATTAATAGCATAATAAGTGATAGGTTTTCTGAAAACCTAGCATGCCATAAAACATCTCAAAAAGCATATCTCGTATATAGTGTGCTAAATAGTGGTATCAAACAATAATATCTCCCGGCCCATTGCCAGCTTCATGTCTCTCGACCTGAAGTCAGAGATTATTTCTCCAGGCCCCTTGCTAGCTCCATGTCCCTCGGCCCGAAGCCAGGGATTATTTCTCCCGGCCCACATGCCATCACCAGATCCTCGCCCCAGGTAGAATAATGACCACTAGAAACGCACAAAACATTGAACATAATATTTTCAAACATGCGTACATATATCTCAAAATCATCTTCATAGTATAAAGTCATCCATCATCTATACTATAAAGAAGTGTGTGAAAACATGTTCTAAATAGTATATCGTCATCCATCAGATACCCTACAAGAACATGGGTTCGATAGAAAATATGGTATTCCAAAGTAAGCTCAATATAGCATGATAATCAATTTCTCATAAAACATTCACAAAACCTATTCAGTAAATCATGTTTTTCATGTATGCATTTCTACTAATAAAACATGCATTTTGGAAGGGGTTCATTCATAGATACTCCATCGTAGAAGAGCCATACAAAATAAGAATGACAGAATTGCCCCTAATTGCACAAAGCACATAAGAGTACAATTAATGAAACTATACTCAAACAAATGAATTTGGGAAAACGGATGTCATAAACTGGTCCAGGACGTTGAAATTAGCCTATGAGGGGTCCCGGACAAAAACTCGAAAAACGGTCTAAAAGTCAACGTTGACCGATCAAAGTCAAAGGGTCCGGGTCAAAGTCAACGGTCAGGTCAAATCGGTTTAGGGTAGGACCGGGTTGGGCCCTAAGGGTTTTGGGCCATGGGGTTTAAGGTTTGGGCTTAAGGGTTTAGGGTTTAAAGGGTAATGGGTTGGGCCGATTAGGGTTTAGGGTTTAAAGGGTAATGGGTTGGGCCGATTAGGGTTTAGGGTTAAAAGAGTAACGGGTCTAAGGCCCGACTTCTCACATGGCTCGAAGGCCTATCTGAAAGGGCTCGAAGACCTATCTGAAAGGGCTTGAAGCCCTGGGTTGCTCACATGAGCATGGGCTTAGAAGCCTGGCCCAAGGTTTAGGGTTAAAAGGATCTACGGGCCTAAGACCCTAAAGGAAATGACCCAAAGGCCTTTAGGTTTTAGAATTAAATAAATAACATAAAATAAAAAAAGAAATGGTTGGGTTAGGTTTCAAACGGGCCTAAGCCCGAGTTCTAAAATGGCCCACAAGGCCTGGTTTCACTGAACTTGGGTCACCGACCCATTTCTCAACGGGAGGAGGCTGGAACCTCCCGTGCTCCGGTCGACGTCAAAACTAAACCTTAGACTATGATCTAGGTGTCAAATTGAAGAGGGAGGTGAGATGAGTAACTTGGTACCAGGGGTTCACCGTGGAAAAACCGGTGGTGGCCAGAATCTCGTTCGAAACCCACGGGAGTTTGTCTGGGGTTTTTTGGGTTTTCCCACTTCACGGAGACGAGAGAGAGAGAGGGAAGGAAGGTCCTCGAGGTGGTGGTGATGCTGTGACTTCGTCGAGGTAGTGGTGTGGGTGTGGATTCGATCGGGGAGAGAGAGAGTTAGAGAGTGAAAGAGAGAGAGAAAACTGAAAGTGAGAGTGAGAGAGAAGAGAGACCGGGGAAATGAGGGGGAGGAGTTGGGGACTTGCCACGTGGCAAGTCATGATAGATAGGAAATCCCAAAAGGGTCCGGATAGGGTAAGTGTCCAAGGTACCATATTGCAAATTTCACTAATTGTAAAATTACAAGGAAATCTTTTGGGAGGGGTTTTACAGTTCCCTGCGTTTAAAGAATATATGGTCCGTACGTCCAATAAGGAGTAGCCTTTAATAGTCTATTTTAAGCAAAGAAGGACAATGCAATATAGAAAAGAACATAGAAGGGACGGGCTCGTGTGGAACGGGACTTGAACCTGCTACAGTTTAGGGTTTAGAGAAGAGAAAGACATACTGGCATACCCACTCCTTCACATTGGTTTATATAGCTTTCCAATACACCAACCACTTCTTCGAATTGTTTTCTAATAGTTGTAATACCACCACGTATTTCATACATAAAAAACCAAATAAATTTAACTTCTAATTAAAGATGAACCATTACTTAAATTCATCAAAATTGTTTTTTCAACAAGCATCTTTTCAGTGACTTTTGTGTTCAATATTTTTAACAAACGATATTATCTACACTAAGAAAAAAATGGTGAGTTTAGCCTCATAATATACTTTTGTGTTCAGTTTGTCCTTGATAATTGAAAAAAATAAGGAGGAGGATCCCCCCCCCCCAAAAAAAAAAGAAAAAACAAAAATCTCTCTCTCATTCCTTCCCCTCCTAATTGAACAGTTACAATTAAGTCACTTCAACATCTTATATTGATTTTTTTATAGAGATAATAAGACAAAAACCAAAGTGCGAGAGGAAGGAAGAAAGGAGATCAAAATATGAGAGGAGAGAATCCTACTTCTATAAAGGTATGTATGAGTACTTGCATATAGTTTAAAAAGTTGTTGCTTCCTTTCATACCAAATACACCCTCAACAACCAATCGAAACAACGACGAAGGAAAAATAGGGGGAAGCCCTCAGCAACCCAAGTTGGTAGGTATGTTTTGCGTGCCCGCCTCGAAAACTATGTGGCGTCTTGAGTTAATATAGACTAGTATAAATATCTCTTTATATAGTATCATGTTATTGATTCAATGTCTATATAGTGACGAACTCGGTATTCATAAGTCCTTCTCCACTAAGAGTGATGACTGCGGGAGAAATATAGATCACCATCCAGCAAGAATGCAGAGAAAGAGCCTGTTATGTATTGAACTCTAAGTTATATGGGTGTTTTTCCTTTGTTTGGCCTCTTAATTTGACTATGGGAATTAAATTTACTTATCTAACCCAAAAC